TAACCCTAACCCTAACCCTAACCCTAACCCTAACCCTAACCCTAACCCTAACCCTAACCCTAACCCTAACCCTAACCCTAACCCTAACCCTAACCCTAACCCTAACCCTAACCCTAACCCTAACCCTAACCCTAACCCTAACCCTAACCCTATACTTACCGGGCAAGTACCCCTATGAAGCCTATTCGCTAGTGCTGTAATACAATACAACCTAGCCGGATAGCCTCTAAAGTATTTCCAGTTCGCGATAAGTTTGTTAGTCGGCGAGCGAGCGATGTGGACCGCAAGATGCAACCCAAAAGCTTATTTCAGCCTCGATGTAGCTCTTGCCCGTCTCCGGCTAAGGATCCGTTATTGCCAGAGGCGACTTCCCTGTCTGCAGCGGAGCTCCTCCTATGTTGATGCACGACCGCCGACAATTACCCCACGGGACATCGACTGAAACGGCAAGTAGAACCACAGCAACCGGGGTCGCTCTATTATCAATTGAACAATCGCGCGAGACATTACCCTCTGGCGGTAGTCGCTACATGTATGGAACCAGTCCAATGGGATTTCCTCATCTTCTTTGCTAGCGCCTTTGGTAAAATTCTTACGACTTGGAAGAAGTAGTTGAGTTCCTCTTTCATTCTCCGTTTCCTTTGGCCACGCGCGACAAGTCCCTTCCCTTCCAGGTTGCTAGTGACCATGGACGAGACTGTGGAATGCAAGCCCGCACCAGCTGCTGACCTGCGCGAACTGAACGAGAAGTACAACATCCGACATGCGGCACCAATCGCAACCAAGACCGCTGCCATAGCGAAAGATGGCAGCGTTGATGCTGAGTCTGCTGGTGAGCGCGTCTTCAACATGTCCCTAGCTGCGATTTTATCGTGACCTAACAACGCGTCATCCAGGGATCACAACAGACACCACCGTCGATACGCCTTTACAGCTGGTCACCAAGACCCTCGACACGTCCGATGACCCGACTGAGAATATCTACACCTTCCGAGCCTTCGTCCTTGGGTTAGGCTTGTCGGCCTTTGGTGCTGTTCTCGGCGAGATCTTCTACTTCAAGCCACAAACTATCAACGTGAGCATTGTGTTCCTGATCATGATCGCCTACTGTCTTGGAGAGGCCACTGTCTTGATCCCTCGCTGGGGTCCTGTTGGCCGTTTTCTCAACCCGGGACCGTTCACCCAGAAGGAACACGTTTTCATCGTCATTATGGCCAGCTCTGCCGCCACCTGTGCCCTCGGAACCGAACAACTTGCCGCCCAGTCTCTATACTACGGCAATCAACCAAATGCAGCGTCGGCCATTTTCATGCTGTTCTCCTCGCAGTGCATTGGCTATGGTCTTCTCGGTGGCATACGCAACGCTTTCATCTACCCCACCAAATTTGTCTGGCCATCACAGCTTCCAAATGCAGCACTATTCCAGTCGATGCACTTGAACAAGGAACTGGCCAGGAAACGACTCAGAATCTTCTGGTGCATCTGCGTGGCTGTCATGGTCTGGGAGATTGTGCCTCAATGGATGTTTCCTCTCACCACTGGAATTTCCATCTTCTGTCTCGCCAACCAGGACTCGGCCTTCTTCACGCGCCTGTTCGGAGGAGCCAATGGAAACGAGGGTATGGGCTTCCTGGGCTGGTGCATGGACTGGCAGTACATTGGAGAAAAAGAGTTTACTCTGCCCCTGAGTACATTGGTCAACCAACTCATTGGCTACATCGGCTGTATTGCTTTGACCCTGGGCGCTTACTACTCCAATCTCTGGGATGCGAAGAGATTCCCTTTTATGGCGCAGTCTTTGTTTACTTCCAATGGGACTGTCTATGACCAGACACAAATCTTGGGTCCAGACAACCAGGTTGATCCAGCTGCTTTGCAAGCCTACGGGTTTCCCAGGTTTGCCACTAGCAAAGCTTTGAGTTTGCTGATGAAGAACATGGGCATCACGGCAGCTGTGGTACATGTCCTTCTCTGGAACTGGCATGACATAAAGTTCATCTTTGCTCCGTTTCGGCCTTCAGCTTTGAAGCAAAACGTCCAGAAAGTCAGAACGTGGTGGCACCACGGGTTCAACTCGTCCTTCTGGAAGAACTTCACCTCTGACGCGGACACCCCTCGCAAAGAATATCCCGGCACCGAAGGGGACCCCCATTACGCTGCTATGCGTGCCTACAAGGAGGTGCCATCATTTTGGTATATCAGCATCCTCGCCGTCTCAATCTTGATTGGCCTAATCTGCTGTTACCAGCAAAAGACTGGCCTCCCCTGGTGGGCGTTCCTACTTGCCGTCCTACTGGCCTGGATTTTGACCACTTTCTTTGCGTGCATGTATGGCATTGTTGGGTTCTACTATCAACCAACAAGTGCGGTCCAGATGATTGGTGCTTACATGGTTCCTCGCAGACCGGTAGCGAACATGATGTTTACCCTCTATGGATCCAACGCATTGGTGCAAGCCATCCAGATGTTGGGCGATCTCAAGTTGGCACAATATGCGAAGCTCCCACCCAGGGCAACCTTTCTTGCGCAGATTCTTGGGACATGTGCTGGCTCAGTGTTCAACTGGGTCATGATGAACAGTATTGTGGATAATCGGCGCGACATTCTGTTGTCCGTTCAGGGCACCAACATCTGGTCTGGTCAGAATGTACAGACTTACAATTCCCAGGCGGTGGCTTGGGGCGGTACGGCCAACGAGATCTTGTGAGTTGAGTCTGATTGTGCCATTGACATCCATGTCTGAGATGTGTGTTGACACCAGGTACCACAGCGGACGTCATGGAACGTACTGGATGGTTCCAATGGGGCTGTTCTTTGGAATCTTTGCCCCAATGCCATTCTGGATCGGTCAGTCAGGCGCATCATCCTCAAATGGGCAATGAAGTCCTTGGTACCTCTACTAACAGATGCCATATTCAGGTCACAAGTACTTCCCTCAACTCAGACTCAACTCCATCAACACATTTCTCATCTGCACTTGGCTGGGCTGGTTGTCTGTTGGTATCAACTCTTCGCTTTTGGCATACTTTGTGTTTGGCTTCTTTGCTCAGGGCTATCTTCGTCGATACAAGCCGACGCTGTTCGCCAAGTGGAACAATATTTGTGCGGCGGCCATAGCCGGTGGTTGTTCCTTGATCATCTTCATCCTCACCTTTGCCGTGGCGGGCGGCAGTGGCAAGGCCAGAGACTTCCCGGTGAGCACTACTCGTCTTAATGTCTTATTGCGTCTCTTTGAACGATTCTTGTTTACTAATTGGAGTCATTGTGAAGCAATGGTGGGGAAACAACATGGATGGTAATGTGGACAGGTGCAAGTACCTGAATGGAACATGACATCCAGTCCTGGCATGCCACATGCATACCTCTATGGCGTTCAACGCTGCCTGGAAGTGTCCTTGATCGTCCGCTGCAAACTGGCGCTCTATATTCCAACATCTTGACTATCTACTTCAAATTTTCTTCTCCTCCCCTCTTTCGCGAGATTTTACTCCCGTCTTCATGTGGCATTTGCCTTCCTTCCCCACCAAATGCCAATACCGTCAACCCAGGCCACTTCATTCACATACCTCTAACGCCGTGATCAGTCCCTAATAGACTGTCAAAGCCTTCAGGTACATCTGCATGGTGGCGATCATGCCCTGCTCACCAATGTCTCTTCCCCAGTTCACATCTTCCTCCCCGTTCTTCTCAACAACCACGTACTCCCCATCAGTATCCGTGTCCAGAGGTGGAGCCTTTGCATCAGAGTACTCGACCCAAACCCAGTCCTTTTCCATGTCGTCCACTGTATCCATGTATTCCCTCATGGCCTTCAACTGCGCCAGAATGCAGAGAATCTTGGCACAATCACCTGACGAACGGATGCGGATAACTCCGCTCCGTCTGGCCTCGTAAAGCTCTTGCACTTGCTGTGCTAGGTCTTCCAATGTCTTGAGGACTGTCGACGAGTATTTGTTTTTATGAGCATCATGCCAGCGTTGGAGCTGCTCGGAAACCTGGCTGGCGGCTGTTTTTAGGCCGGTGGGTATGATGTCGACCATAACACGCTGATGGAAGCGGGGGTTCTGGTGTGTGGCAGAGAACGGTGGTGGGTTGTCGGTGGTCTCTTGGACCAAGGAAGAGAGGTCCGGGGTGGCGCAGTTTCTTCTGATGGCGGAAATGTTGGGGTTGGACATCTTGGTGATGGTGCTTGTAACCGGTATTCGACTTGGTACCTAGAGGTAGGTATTATCTCGCGGGCGGTTTGCCTAAAGGTTTGGAACTGCTGAAAGACTTTGAACTGTTGTCTGTCAACTTTGTGTTTCTAGTTCCGGTGGCTTTGGAATCTGGTATAACATGTCTTTATGTCGGACTTTCGCATGTCATGGATGCGATGTTGCCGTTGGCCATGACACACTCTGGCTGTGTGAGGCTTGGTCATTCATAGGTACCTACTTCCGGTGTTCGAATACGTTGCAAACATCATCCACCTGAGAAATGTCCAATGAGTAGGACAAACAGAGTCATCAACGCTAGTCCCATTGCAGCATTTCATATGAATTAAATAAGATGCTCGGTTGGTACCTTCTGTTCATCTTCTTGAACACACGTGAACAGAAAAAGGAGGTCAAACAGCCAATAAGCGTTGTACACTTATAAGGCTGGCGGCTTGTCAGCTTGGCAGGGTAGAGGTAGATGCCGCTCCAGTCTAACTCGTACCTACCTCGCAATGACACAACCAGACCCGGCACTCTCGAGATGGACTTTCCATATGAAAATATTTCTACTATTTTGTCAGCAAACGCTCGACTTCGATTGACTGGCATTGTCAGCAAACTTTCCAAGTTCGGAGCGATTATGCGGCGTGGAACTAAGGTAGGTACCTAGATGCGTCAACTAGAACACGACGTGAAGCGAGATTCTTCAAGATTGCGGTGTCTGCTGAGCATCATGCTTGGGTACCTCTAACCAGGGTACTTGTAGTGGGCGGAAATATATGAGGCCAGAGTTGGTGCCGCAAACATCAAGTGGTGTGTTGTTGATGTGGTCGTTTAGGTGACGCGAGGGTTGAGGTCAACCTGAGCGTCAACTGAGCGTGACACATTGAAGTAAGGATAGCAAGGTCAGGGGCCCCGAGGTAGTGGGCTATGAAAGCAGCCGGATGATGATGCAAAGTGACTGAACAGTCGAGTCGGTGTAGAGTTGGTAGCATTTCCAAAAGCATCAGATACCTCTGCGGCGGCATTATGGGGATTTGGAACATTTGTTGCCTGCCGGAGTGTGGGCGCTGCGAAAGCTCTGCCAAGACTGGCAAACAGTTGCCGGCCGGGAGTTTGCCATTCGGGAAGCATGCGGCTGCACCCCGGCGTCACAACTTCAGTTGTTTTCCGCATCTTCAATCCGACGAAGCAGAGGAACGAATCATTCTCGACTTTGCAACATTCCGTCATCGCTGCCAATCATGGCTATACACGTTTAATTGACTCGCAAAAGCCATTCATTTTGCTAGCTGTACGTGACTGGAACAACAAGCCTCCCCTACCCCCCCTCCCCTTTCGTTGCCTCTCTTCACAACCTGTTCTGACCGAAGCGTAGGTATAGTGCGATTGCTCAGATTGCCCAGCGAACTCCGAGTCCTTTCCATCTCAAGCTCGACCGAATCAGGCGTCGCCGTCCGGCCGCCCGACCGCCGTCATAATACATGTCCCCAATGTAGCGCTCCTCGACAATCGGCATCTCGCTCGGCTCGCATGACGGCTTCGAGAATCGATTGTACGCGACAAATGTCTTATTGTCGTTCACCTCGGCATTGACAGGCGTCGGCACCCGAACAGACTTGCGACGCACCACGACCGCATCGTTCATAATCGGCTTGACACCGCAGATCTCGCAGAACAATTGAGCCCCAGCGTCGATAAACCGTTCACCACGATCGAGAACAAGACAAGGAAATATACGGCCGGAATCATGACGCGCACGAGGTGCGTTTCCTCCTCGTCGCCATGGCTCCGGTCGGGGTAGAGGTGGCGCGTGTTCTCAACGTACAAAACAGGGTCGGAACCGATAGGACCAAAGTATCCCATAAACAAGGCCTTCTCGTAGGTTCTTGCACACGTTTGGCATCAACTTGTACATGCCAAGGATGGTGGGGATACGGCGGAAGAGGAGGACGAGGAAGCCAAGGCTGATCAGGCGTCCCCACGCCGTGCCGGTGGTACGGGACTTGCTCCACGGCATAATAAGACCATTGCACATGAAGCTGCCAAAGTTTAGCAAGGCGTTCATGCAAGAGTTGACCTCGTCATGGCGCACTTCGGCCTCATGGAGGAACTCGCTCTTCCAGTTCAAGGTGTTGCCAGCGACGAAGCAGGCGAGCAGGTCGTCGGTGCCGAGCATGCCGCAAATGCCTGCAAGGAAGAGAGGCCTAGAGCGGTAGGGGGGAGGAGGTAAGACTCCGAGTCAACCCATTTCCTGTTACGTTTCAGCATGATGAACATGATCTAACCACTGAATCCCTGGCAGGAAGAGCGGCTTCCGAGTTGGGACACACCTGTGCTGCAGATAGTCTTTCCAGCCCCGAACCCAACCCGGGCACCAATTCCAACAGACACAAGTACAATGTACCGCCACGTCTCTACCACTCAGTTTCCGATCGCGACGCCGACGCCTCCATTGAGCCTGCCCACTCTGGCCACCGTGCCATGTCCACCAGAAGAATCACCGGCCATACTTCGTCGAGTATACAGCCAACATCAAGAAAAGGAAACCGAAGCCATCGTCGGCGCCTGCTACACTCGAGGTGATCTTACGCAGTTTGCGAGCCACGGACATTGCCGGCGAAAGGACCATTCGCAATGGCCTGAGTGAAATTGGGTCTGTGCAATTCACACAGCTAGCAATGACCAGCGCGGATAGGAGGCTAAGATTTGGTACCGTCGCCAACATGCACAGCGTCGCGAAGAGCCACATGATGGTCTCAATAGGAAGCCAGCACAGGGCCATCTCCTTCGATCGGTGGAGCTGATACTTGGCCAGAAACTGATAGCCCGTAATGGCCACTTGGACGCCGATCACGATGCGGTTCAGGCCGAGGGTGAACCTGTTCCCGGACCGAGACTGGTTCTGACAAGGACGGCGGGTAGCGCTTCACCGACAAAACCAACGGCTCTTGATCTTGACGGATATGGTGCCGAAGAGGATAAAGAAGGCGCTGAGAACACCGATGACCTTGTCAAGGTCGCTGATATCTAGATTCGGCATCGTCGTAAATGCCGCGTGGCTTGCTGGAGGCAATCCTGGACCAAACTGGTTATTGTGGGTTCTACGGCAAGATCTCCGATCCGAATAGTCGATAACAGGTCAAGGCTTCGCTTGTTCAGTAAGCTATGGCTGTTGACACCATATTAACGCGAGGAACCGTCGCCAGTCTTACTACAATACCTACCTACTATTCCTGGACGACTCTGAAGAGAGCAACAATCATCACGGGCCAAGATGCTCTTGTCTCTGCATGTTTCCCCTGTTTGAGAAGATCATTGATGGAAGCGTCTACGCTAAGAAAGTCCACACACAGCGTTTCTGTTTTGGATCGCCGAGCCACTTGTGTGATCCTGCGTCTTCCATCAAGTTCTAGAGAGGCTTTGCTGGCTTGAGTTGGAACAACTGAAGTAAGAAAGGGAAGGTGAGTATCCGTATGATGTCTTGTGCGTCGCGCTTGTGTTTCTTATTGAGGTCAATGGATGTGTTTGGCCTGGAGCTATCCAATCCATGCGCCACTCCCAAGATGAACACTGTACCTACCGCAGGTATACTCGACACATTTGTGTGTTATTGGACCCCCTCGTTCCTGCTTGTCAAGACATATTCAGAAACAGCACATCACCACAACCCATTAAAGGTAGGAAGCCTCAACAAGGAAGGCAGTCGTGAACTTGGCATGGCGGAGGATAGCATCCCACATAATGGTGGAGTAAGCCTATATGCAAGCGGACACCGAGTCAGCATCAATCTACAGGCAATGACCGCGGTGCGGATTCACTCACATCCTTGGATGAGTGAAGGTAGGGAGTCGCGGTATCTATGGGCTCATCGCAGACGTAGGCGGCAGCTGGAAATCACAAGGTTAGTCCTCCGGATTCTTCAAGTTCAAAAAGCACACAAGGCATATACTTACGGAAACCATTAGACCTGGCAGAGGCATGGTCCGAGCATCCATAGCCACACCTATCGCTAGTCGTCTCGCCCGTATAAGCAGTCGCAATTACTCGGGTGTACGCCGTCAACGAGGAGTCGACATAGTCGGTATAGATGGAAATCTTTCCACTGGGCGAATATCCAGCCATGTCCTGGTTCATGACGGCATACACGCTCTTGCCAGCGGACTTGTAGCTGGAGAAAACGGCAGCAGAACCAAGGAGACCACCCTCTTCGGCAGAGTAAAAGTGAAACTCGAGCGTGTCCTTGGGAGCGAACTTGGCGTTGGCGAGAACGCGGAGAGCCTCGAGGATGACGACGACGCCGGAGCCGTTGTCGTCGGCGCCGGGTCCACGTGCGGTGGACGAGCCGCCAGTCGAGTCATAGTGCGCGCTCACGATAATTAGGTTGCTGCTGGTGCCGGGGATTTTGGCGATGATGGAGGGCTGGTTCCACGAATGGGTGAACTTGGTCACGGTGATGGCCGAGTTGGCGGAGGCGACCGAGACAATGGTGTCATACAGCCAGGTACCGGCCTGCGTGCCATAGCTGGATTTGTAGTACCGGTTGTAGAAGTTGGTGAGAGTGAGCAGCCACGACTTGGGATTAGTGGTCGACACTTGAGAGAGAAGGGAATTGACTTGGGTTTGGTGCGAGACGGTGGTAGGGTATCCGACGGCCTCGGCTGAGAAGTCGGATCTGGCAGGAGCACCGTCAGGGTTGGAGAGGGCAGTGAGGACGGAAGCGTCCTGGTTGCGGTCAGCACCGTCTTGGGCATATGGCGGTTTGGAAGGTCGATGGATGCTATAGTCATGATGTGGGTTGGGGCTGTAAAGGTATGACGAGACTGGACTCACGGTAATGTCGGTGATATCGACGAAGCCGATGCGCTTGTTGCGGTACCGAGTGATCTTTTGCTCCTCAGTCACCCATGCGCCTTTATCCTCGGGGGAGGTCTTGATGAGACGCAGACCGGCGGCCTTGGCGGCACTGGCAGGAGGGACGGCGGCGACAAGGCCGGCTGAGCTGGCGAGGAGAGCGAAGAGGGCCGAGGCACGCATATTGATTGACGACAACTCAAGCACACAGCAGTCGAACAACATGACGCGGATAAAGGGCGCAGCAATGTCATTTTATATCCCTTGACCCACGATGCTGGACATTCATGTCTCGGCACGCTTTTCACCGGCGTCATGCCCGCCGAACCCTTGCTTAATCCCGCATTCTTTTCATGTTTGGTCGTTCATGCAGAGGTGAGCACACGATAGTTGCCCTTCTGGGCGGCCACGCTTGAACTACTCCCAGACACCTTCCTGTTTCCAGCTTTCAATGGCAGTCTACTACTAAATCCATTTGGCTCAGCTGCATTGAAGGGTGAGGGCGATTGCCGGGTCACTTCCATCTCCATGCATTGCTTCCCGATCCATGGCTGCAAAGTTCCGCCAACCGCGTGGGGTTTTTCCCCCAAAACCACATGGTGGACACCAGGATCGACGATTTTGCAGTGTCTAGCAGTGCCGGAGCTAGGCTGTTTCTGGCAGTTCAGTTGCGACAGTATGGGGTTCTCGGTAGTGTGGTTACATCTCCGAGCTGATTTTGTGGGAAAGCTGGGAAATGTGAGGAATGGGCTTGCAACGGGTTGGGCATTCAGCAAGATAAGAGATGCCACCATTCACCTGTGCATTTTGGGACCTGCCCGATCCAGACTCTTTGCCGCTCCCATTCGCGCCGTTGGAAGTGGGATCAACAGGCACCCGAAGAATGGTGAAACAACGGTGTTCCCTCGATGGGGTACACTCTCGATCTCAACTGCCTGATCTAGAAGCTGGGAGTCGCCATCGCCACCACATTGATGAGGCACCTCAAATGGAAGCTCGGCGGCTGGCGGCTCGAACGCCTTCAGCAGAGAGAAAACGATGGGGGCGTCAGCCGGTGGTTTCCGAATATTTACACGGCACTAGTGTAGGTGCGAAAAGGACGACAAAGATATTCCGCCGTTCATGGAGGAATAATGCAGGGCCAAGGACGTGGAGTCAAAGTTTCACCTCTGCAGGGCCGCGATGGTGAATTGCTCCGGCGTCTGGTAAGCGTCATCAAACAACTGCGGGCATCCGGGTAGAAAGATGAGCTTCTAGAAGCACCTTGATACTCCGAAACAAGGAGTACAGTATTACCTGGCCAAACGACGTTGAGAACATATTCACGCGGAGCACAGGGGTGTGGAACTTTAGCCAGTCAATACCTACCACAGCGGGAGTATGGGGAGAGCATCTGGCCTAGTCAGGGGGCTCCTAGGCTAGGCTGGTTTTCTAGGCATGATAGTGAGCCTAGCCTAGGTGGTTCACCTAGCCTAGTTGAAAATAGAGGGCGCTGATTGGTCAGATTTGGGCGTGAAAAAGCAAGTAGAAGGTTATTATAGGGGTCTTTGGTAGTAGTTGCTTCAGTGGTCTTTGACTTCGACTTCGAAGTCCGGATGAGGGCATTCACAATCACACGGGCACTTCCGCGCGAAACTTTTCGCGTGAAAAAGAGACGACCACCAGCGGGATCGAACTGGTGATAGGAAGAAAGAAAGCGACGACGAGAACCATTGAGCCACTGGCCCAATTGATTGATAAGAACGCTCGTTCTTTCTATCTATATAAGGATTTGGATCTTGAGTTTAGGAAAGAGTGGCCCAGCCGAAAAAATAAAAAAAAATAAAAAAAAATAAAAAAAAATAAAAAAAAAAGTCTAGCGCACCGTTATAGGGGACACCCAAATTGACCAATCAGAGCCTTCTATTGAACAACTAGGCTAGATGTCTTGGGGGATTTCCCGCTACGGCAGGTAGGAATGTCATATTAGATCTAGGTGCGGTCAATGTCCTTATCTTTGAAAGATCGCAGTTATTTGGCTTTACCAAGTCCCTGCCGTCAAGTTCGTGTAGCTTATACAGCCGACTCCATGCCAGATGAAGAGGGAAAGGGGATACTCGCCCGGGCATTTCGCCGTAACTCTTGGACACTCAGGACATAAAAACTGCTGGCTAGTGCTTCCAACAATTTCAGCCTCGGTTCTCTTCAGTGTCGTAGCTTCCATCTGGGAAATGGAACAAATAGAGAAGATTGGGTGAATGGTAGCGTGCCTTGGAGATGCATGTTCGACCAGAAAAAGGTAAAGCGTGAGGAGATTTTCTCCGATTGGAATGTACCATAAACAGTCCCAGGTCATCGGAATCCTGACTGGTGTCTCCACCCGGAAGCCGTCTAAAGGTTATTTGCATGGCTCATGGTGGAAAGACCGTCGAGTGTCTGCCCTACAGGGATGGGGGCTGCGGATGCCGGGTCAGAAGCGAGATGTTTAGACTACCCCGAAGACCGCAGCGATGGGCTAGGGGTAAGACGCGAAGAAGCGACGCCTGGTGCTGGGAAAATGGAACTAATGCAAGGCTGACAGCGAAGGAAGTCAATTGCACATGCGGCAATCTCTGCATGACGTAATGTCTGGTCCGCCTGATACAGCACGCACCCGACCAATGTCGGTCTGCAGCGAGGCATACACTTCATGTTCAGCTCGACACCACGGAGCAGCCGCAACGATCCCCAGAATCGACAACCAAAGCAATCCGACCGCGCCTGTTCCAGCTAGGTACGAAACGCCGAGCGCATACAACAAGACCAAATCTTTGCCTTCATCCCCTCCATCAACACACTTGAGTTGCTGCCCAAGTGCCTGGGAGGAGTCCAGCTATCCTGTTTTTATCGGCTGTGGCTAACTGCAAACTACTTGTACAGACTCTTCCGCTTTTCTCTCGAGGTCTTGACTGACACTCGATTTCCCCGACTGATCTCGATAAGCCAAACATCCCTCCCACTTCATCGCCCGCTTTCCGATCCCTTGTCACCGATCCGTCCCTTGTCATAATATCTAACCATCATCGACCCATCAAGGGCCCAGTCTAGTTGCTAGGGCCACGGCTTTCCCATACAAATGTAGGGTCAGTGTTTATAGTGGTGGGCTTTGGCGAAGCTTCGCACTTGTTGGAAGACCCCTAGATCCTTCAACACATGCCTTTTTGGCAGTGCAGGCTTCGCCCTTGCTCCTTGCTCGAGGCCCGAGAACCCCATACAAAGGCCGGCTTAGGGCTGTCGACGATGGAAGCGGCTTCGGGTTCAGCTTCGCGCTTGATGAGCCCGTGCAAGGCCCAGACATGGGCGGATTCGGAAGAGTTTTCACAGACTTGGGCCCACGGATTTTGATGGTGCCCCAGTGAACCCCATACGAGGGCAGGCTTGGCTTGGGCCTGGCGGACGCAGGGATGGCGGCAACGGAGGCGAGAAAGCGGAGGCGCAGAGCCGCGAGGGTGTTGGAAGCAGTGGTTGTCATAGTCTGTCGATGTCGGTGATAGCCGGGGACGAGGAGAAGGCAATTGGAGGTGTGCTAACCGATACAGATATGCTCTCGAGTCGAGACGTCGAGAATGGGCTTTGCGCTATCTTATATCGTTTGGGGACTAGCTGGTCCTTCCTCCATGATCCACCAACCTTTTGCGTCCCAGATTTCTCTGTCCTGCCACGCTGTTGACCCAATGGCAATGCCGAGAACTGACTTCTTTGTCCGACACCGTCTATGCCAACAACAAAAGTCTCTCGCCTTTCCCTGGCGCCGGGAGAGTGTAGATAATGAAGGACCGTCATCCTCAAAGCTTGTGCTTTGACTCTGTAGCATCTATGGCCCTTCCCACAGCCAGATCCGGTCACCATGTTCAGCTCTTGTTGATGGTCCTCACGGGGTAAAGGAACGCTACCGGCTGGGTACAGAGACGGGGTCTGGGCTCTCAATCTTGGCTGGGCTTCGGGAGCAATCCGTCAGCAGATCGGTATTGAAATCGGAAGCCAAGCAAGGTCTGAGCTCAACACCGTGGTATTGAGAACCCTCACCTTCGGATGGCTACGCCGTTGCTTTCCTTGAAGGTAGCTGCTAGCAACCCATGAACCTGCTGAAAGCCTGTCTCCAACTTCGGGGACGCGGTACAGGGAGGATTCGATGTTCGAACGGGTTTGACACATGGTCATGTCGTCCCAGCACAAGGATGTGAAACCCCACCTCCTCGAGGTTACCTACATGTAGCCAAGTGCGATCTGACAACACAGTAAGAGATCATATCAGTTTGGACGGTGTCTATGCCTGGGCTCTATGGTCGTCGAGGCGGGGATTGTGCGCTTAGACACTGCTTACACAGTACGAAGTATCAAATGCTGATTCACACTGCACGCAGCTTCACGTCCAGAGGAAATGGAGGGGTGTGTTTGAGAACACCCTCAGGGGCTTTGTTTACTTCCTGACCACAATCACCAACAATCACTTACATGCATTGCACTGCCTCTTTTCACGATTCCATGCCGTACTTTTAAGTCATGATCTTTATACTTGTACCGTTGCAACCACGATCCTGTTCAACTGCAAAGACCTTATCTCCATCACGGGGAAGCTACTGTTCACACTGACTCACCTGTTTTAGTGCCAATTTACAAGGTTACAGCGGGCGTTTGGTAGGCGCGCACCGCCCAGTGCTGGTCGCTGTGTTACCCCGGCTTGCCCAGAGAGGAAAGTCGTCAACTGGGTAATCTTCGCAACGCCACTTCTTGTCCAAAATGTCGAATGAGTGTTATATTGAAAATTTGGAATGGTTTTATGCGGGTGAAGTATTTCAGCATCCTGATTCCCTCTTGCCTTCTTCATGATATCAGCCCCTGCCCGTTCATCTCTTTCACTACCTCTAAGCATCTTCCAAAGAAAATCATCTCAATAACATCACCACCTTTGACATCATTTATCGGATAAGAAGCACACCAAGAACCCACCTCACCCCGAACTACACCACCACCTCACCACCAACCACCATGTCAGACCCCACCTTCAAAATCGAGACCCCCCGTCTCCTCATCTCCTACCTCCAGCCGGACCTCGACTCGCACTGCGACTTCCTCGTCGCCCTCTATAACACCCCCGAGTTTATTGCCAACAACGGAAAGACATCTGTTACCACCCGTGACATCGCCCGCCGTCAACTCGAGGGCCGCTTCCGCGCCGAACATGCCCGCAATGGCTACGGCACCTACCTCTTCTCTCTCCGCAACCCTGCGAACCCAGACGATCTGGCCTCCGCCACGCCAATCGGTACGGTGTCGCTGATGCGTGGGGATGAGCCCGGATCTTATACCGCGCCGGATCTGGGGTTTGCCATTCTGTCGGAGTACATGAAGAAGGGGTTCACGAAAGAGGCGGCGCAGGGACTGATGGAGTATGTCGAGAGGGTGCAAGGGGTGAAGGATATTCTAGGACTTCATGACCCGGCGAATAAGGCCAGCGGTGCGGTCTTCAGGAGCTTGGGATTTGTCGATGTGGGCTTGAGGCAACTGTTGGTTTTTGGACCGGACGTAGTTGGGCAGGTGTGGATCAAGAAGGGAATGAGTGAGGATGTTAGTGTTTATGGGTTGCCCAAGGAGGCACCGGCCACCGTGGAGATGCCGGAAAAGATTGTGGAGGATGGGGTGACGGAGTCCGTAGGGGCTGTAGCGGTTTAAGATTCCACTTGGCTTGCTGGTCTAGAATGGTATAAACGTAAACTCTTTTCCCTGCGTACTCCTTTGCTCCGTTGACCCCTCTCGTGTTTTTCTACATGTTGCTCCATGCATGCAATTTTTGTGGTATTCGGCCCGGGCCGTACAACCGGCCGAATCAATGACAAGAATTCTCCGAAACTAGAGGTATGAACGTAGCTCTGATCACTTGTCCCATGCGTCCTTGGCCCTGTAGAGGTACAGTTCACAATTTCTGGGTAGGTATGTACCCTAGGTAGTATTGCGTCTTGTCCTAGTGATGATCGAGTGTTTGCAATGGACCGATTACGCGAATCACACAAGATGTACGAAATCTGAAGACTTCCACTTATGATGAGGATACATGCTGCCTCATCACACTCACTTCAGATCTGGACGTTGATGTCTCTCGTCGTGATGATGCTGACCCGAAGTAAATAGGAGGCCCCCCCGCGCCCTCCAGTCCTGTCACTTGCGCCTCCTTCCAACCTTCATTTGATCCTCGTACTTTCTGGTTTTACCTATATGTAGGTACCTTTTGGCAGGAGCGGTCAATTCTGCAACATTCTTTTTCTTGCATAAACATGTACTTTCAGAACCTGACAGCCGACAAACATCATCCACCCGGACAAAGAAACTGAAAGCCTTCCTAGTACACACGGTAAATCTGGACTCGACGAAGAGTCAGACGAAGGCCTTGATATCTACGTTCCAATTCGCAGACAATTTCGATAGAGGGGGCATCTAGTTCGGGGAGCTATTGTCATTTTCTCCATTGGTGTCGAATTAGGGTTGGCTTTTGGCCAATAACAAGTGGAGCTCAAAGTCCAAAGACCCAGCGTTGAGGAACTTTGGCATGAACTTCAAGTCCTGAAAAATCTAGAATCCTAACGATAGCGTTAGATGAAGATACTTCTTTGTTTTGCCTGAGATCTTAAGTATATACTTATAAATAATAAGTATGTTACTTAGGTACCTCTAGCTTTGAACTTGCGTACCTCTACGGAGAGAAAAGTAAAATGAGGTCAGTTGAGTGGGTGTTACCGTGCTTGGTTGATCTTTGGCCTCGAAAATGTGCATCAGTTCTAATCTAGAGGCATGCTTTTCCCGCTGCTTCTCAAGAGTTTCCATTTTTAGGTCAAGCTTAGAGGTATCCTCAGGTACCGGGTTCGGCCATGCCTTTTTCCTTCTTTTCTTCAGCTGACCAGCTGCAGTTTTTGCCGATCCCTTCCTCTGTTTCTCTATCCCCTCCCGAGAGTCGATCTTGGCGTCCCTAGAGGTAGCAGTACCTAGGTAGGTAGCTTCTGTCGGCTCTACTATAGAGGTCTTGAAAGGTAGGTAGAGAATTAAAGTTGAGTGAAAAGCTCAAGCACAGGATAGGTAGGTACTAAAACTGACGAGAGGAGTAGTCTATACCTAGGTAAATGTAATTCATGTTCTAAAAATTGTATGTACAACGTCACTCTCTGCCCCTATCGCGTTCGTCAAACCACCACCGAATGAACTATATACAAGGACGCTCATGTTCTCCTCTACAGACATCCATCGTCACTCTTCGTGAGTTCGGTCTCAGCCTCACGGCTTCAACACAAACTTCTCTCGATAAGCTTACAAGCACTGGCTATACCAAGCGTTCTGAACCTTGCAAGTGTACGGGGCCTGGCAAGCAGTGGGGCCCGTGTAGCCGTTACCACCGCACTGCGCCCAACGCGCCTGCTGCGCGCCAGTAGCGGTACCAGTGGCCGACTTGGCAGGCGCCGCCGTGGCCTTGGTGGCAGTGGCGGTCGCGTCACAGGCAGATGCGGTCGCAATCGCAGTCCTGAGGGTCGTGGGCACAGCAGCAGCGGCGTTGGTGTTCTTGGCCGTAGTAGGGGCTTTCGTCGCTGCAGCGGCCAAGACGGAGCTGATAGCGGAATATGCGGGCTTTTTGTTGAAGTTGCTATCAAAGATTGCAGCGTTACCGTTCTGGATCCAGTTGTACTTGTCGATGAAGCCCCAGATGGTGACGCCGACGCAGCCGTCGACGTCCACGCAGGAGCCAACCATGTTGGCATAGTCGGTAGCCTGTTGGGCCTGGACGGAGGAGGAGGAGGCAGTGTTCTTGTGCGCAATGTCGAGCTCGGTGTAGGCAACCTCAACACCGAGAGCGGTGAAACGCTTGAGGAGGGTGGCCATGGCAGTGCGCGAGGGCGTGCCGCCGACAGTCATATGGGCCTGGAAACCGACACCATCAATGGGGGCGCCGGCAGCCTTGATGAGCTTGACGAGCTCAAGGGCCCTTTCGGTCTTGGCGCCGTTGTACTCGAGGTTGTAGTCGTTGTAGTAGCTGGGAGGTGTTAGTTTGGGTACCATCATGTTGGTGTGGCTGATGTGAAGAGCAGACTCACAGCTTGGCGTTGGGATCAGCCTTCTTCGCAGCATTGAAGGCAATGGGGAAGTAATCCGTCTGGAAGGTCTTGAAGAAGATCGAATCGCGGTAGTTGCCTTGAGCATCATCGGAGATGGCCTCGTTCACAACATCCCAGGCGTAGCACTGGCCCTTGTAGTGGCCCATGACATTGCTGATGTGCGACTCGATAACGGACTGAAGGGTGTCACGGTTCCAGGAGCCGTTGGAGACTGTATATTCCCTGTCAGTACACCGTTCCATCCCCACATCGACCTCATCGATAAAAGGTAGAGGTACTCACCCCACGAAGGCAGCTGGCTGTACCAAACCAGCGTGTGGCATCTCAAGAGCTGTCCGTTGCTCTTGGCCACTCCAGCAACAATATCTCCCGAGGTGAAGGTGAACTTTCCGGGTTGGCCCTCGGTGGCATCCCATTTCATGCCGTTCTCGGGAGTGAGCTGGCCGAACTCGTGCACGTTGTTGATAATGTCACGGTATGTGGTATCCGAGGTGATGGTGCCTTCCTGGCCAGCAGTACCGAAGTACTTGAGACCGGCAGCGACGGCGAGATCGTTGAGCTGGGCGGTAACGCCGGCCGCAGCGAAGATGACAGAAAGAACGGTGGGGAGATGCATGTTGTTGACTTGTAGGGGTAAAGAGTGACTTGGATGTAATGAGTGACTGAACGGAAGAAGAAGCTGTTGATGGGGATAGAAAACTTGAGAGATCGGGAAAGGGAAGTGTCGATGGGTCTTATACTCGTTCTATCCTAGGTGCCGTGACCTTGTGAGGTAATGCACCCCCAGATCATCCATGCCAGTCACCTCCTGTCCTCAATCCTGAATTCGGTTTGATGGTTCCATGTCCCGGCAAGATCTCGCCGTCTTCCATCCTTCCATGCTGGGGACCTTATGGTCAGCATCTACATCGAGCCAGGGCGAAGTAGCATCTAGCCCAGTCCCAGGATCTAGCGCCAGGCCCATGGAACGATAGCGAATGGACCGATGTTACGGTTGTTAGTTGAGAAAACCAGGAGTTCCCTAAGGTAGCTTTTCTGGTGGAGCGCTTCATGCTGTGAAGCATTGGCCCCTGGCGGCTCTCGACTCCCATATCATTTGCAAACCTCGGCTTCCTGGCCCATTTTGTGAGTCGCGTCATAGAAGCCCGGTCCATGTAGATGTCAATCGGAAAAGCCAACCGAGGGAAGGCCGATAGGGCCACTGGTCCCATGCGTGAATCAGTCAAGGGTACCTATCGAGACCTACTCTACCGGGGACCCGGATACGGATTCACTTACCTGTGCGCTTGGAGTTTCACTGCTCGTTGAATCATGAAACACTTGGCCGTCGGTGAACCAAACATGAGCCTGTTTCCTTTTTGGGCAACGCTTTCGATGTTCGGCATGAGCCGTGCTCCTTCTTTCCAGGTTGTGTTTCACTTCCACTCCAGCTTCCACGTGGGGCTAAATTGCAGGAGACATTGCGATGTAACGGTGTGATCTTGGCACGGAGGTTACTAAACCCGCTAGGTTCCGAGGAACGCTAGCTCCCGTGGACGAAAAGAGAAGAATTAGCGAAAACGGTGATGCCGTTAGCGACCTACAAGCGAGGTTAGTGAGGACTCGACACGATGTTTCGGTAAGTGGGGACCGAGGAAGAGCGGTAAAGTCCAGGCTATTTCTCTCCGTTATCCCATCGTGCAGGCTCAAACAAAAAGCAACAAAATCGAGGAGGAAACAAATGTAAACAAATTGTTGATTACTCCTGTGACTGGTATATTCAACATCCAAACCCAACCTCCAGTGCATCCATCCCCCTCTAGGTGTACATGTATCGTCTTTTCGTACTTTAAGTCGGACCCTCTTCCTTTGCCTCAGTCCGTCTTGCGTCCGCCCAAATGTCCATCTACCACCATGAAAATCCAAAAGCAAAACAAGGTTGTACAAAGAAGCTCGCCCAACGACAGCTTCAAAGAGAAGAGAATCGCATACAATCTGTTCCTTTTTAAACAATCCGATGTCAATCAAACCACTCCAGATACCAGTGACATGAACCAGCTCCTCCCCGTTGTCACTTCAGCCATTCTTCAGATCCATCTAGACGACTGAGAACCCAGAGTACAAGTGAGTACATGCCCACTTACTCCCGCTTAAACCTGAACTTCTTCTCCTTCGCATCACCCTTTCCAGCGTCATTCTTCTGGGAATCATCCTCCTTCTGGTAAGAATCGTCCTCCTTCTGGTGAGAATCGTCCTCCTTCTGGTGAGAATCGTCCTCCTTCTGGTGAGAATCGTCCTCCTTCTGGTGAGAATCGTCCTCCTTCTGGTGAGAATCGTCCTCCTTCTGGTGAGAATCGTCCTCCTTCTGGTGGGAATCATCCTCCTTCTGGTGGGAATCATCCTCCTCCTGGTGGGAATCATTCTTCTGGTGAGAATCGTTCTCCTTCTTCTGGGAATCATCATCTTTCTTCGAATCATCGTCCTTCTTGGAATCATCGTCCTTCTTGGAATCATCGTCCTTCTTGGAATCATCGTCCTTCTTGGAATCATCGTCCTTCTTGGAATCATCATCCTTCTTCGAATCATCATCCTTCTTCGAATCATCGTCCTTCTTGGAATCATCGTCCTTCTTTGAATCATCATCCTTCTTCGAATCATCATCCTTCGAATCATCGTCCTTGGAATCATCATCCTTCTTGGAATCATCGTCGGCATCAGCCTTGGTGTCATCGCCATCGTCAGCAGCGTTGTTGTTCGCACCCTGGCCGGCGGCAGCGGTCGTAGCGGCCGCGTTCTGTGTCAGAAGTGACAGACCGGCGATCTGGCGCTTGTCGCGGCCGAGGGCGTACAAGAAGCGCTTGCCGTTGGCGGTGGCGGCTGGGGTGGCGGTCACGACGGTGACGCCGGTGGGCAAGGTGACGCCGGTGGGGAGGGTGACACCGGAGGGGACGGTGACGGTGATGGCCTCAATGGAGCCGGCGGCGGCAAGGAGGAGGGAGAGGGTGGTGGACTTCATGATGCCTTCAGTTGGTCGTGAAAGATGCCCTCAATGTTGGGTTGTGTTGTGGATATGAAGATGGTAAGGTACGTGAAATTCAAGCGAGAGTTACTGTTCTTCTGGTTGCGTAGATTGTCGAAAGAACAGAAGCGGTGTGCTGAGGGATGATGAGGGAAAATGATCGACTGAGAAGTGAGTTGTGACGCAGCTAAATAGATGTTTCGATGATGGTGACCTCATGACCTTGTAAAGCTTAGAGCGTCCAACATCTCCCAAATCACTGACTCGCTCTGTCCCTGAAGCGTCTCGAAGTACGCGATCTCACGACTCTCGCAGACCCTAGTAGGCTGTGCTGCAGTTGCTTGCTTTCGACCCTTTGCCTTTGGTTCGAGGAGTTTAATGGAGCTGAACATGGTGTGCTATACTGTTGCGATTGCCGTGGCCTGTCTCCTGACTTCAAAGCCTCTCCTGCTTGCCTCTGTCTTCTGCCAGAGGCTCTTCCTTGACCTCACGCTTCCGTGGGTCGACAATGTGTATCTACCACCCGCAGAATCAACCTATTCGCCCCTACTCAGCCAGCTCTGAGAATGCAGCATAGCCTTGTCAGTGTCGGCTTTGTGGCTCACGTTGAACATTACCTAAGATAGAGGTGTGAGGTGGACTTGGTATGCAGTGTCCATTACTTGAAGCTTTTCGAAAGTTGAAGAGCCCTCTTGGAGATTTCTGGATGACGGGGTCAGTATTCAATCAGCTGATTCATGTGAACATTGCAAAACTTGGAAAGTGATTTACTAGAAAATGCAAATATGTTCTGATCTCTAAGGAGGCGATGCACCTGCACATCAGCTGTGCAGTCGGACGGGTGCACCCGCTGCCGAATGGGACGAGTCGATGAAAGTTGAACCTGGTCTGCTGTTTCCGAGATGCATTCTTGCATACAACCGTGGCTTGCAGCTCATGTATGTCCCCCGCAATGACGGGCGATCCATGTCGTTGACATCAGATCGCCAGAATCCTCAAACATGGGAGAGGGAGGTCATGTGAAGACATGTTCAGCATGAGAAGGAGAGAAATGTGTCTGATTCCAAGACTGGATGCGGGAACGGTCAGCCCCTCTCCAGAGGTTAGTTGTAAAGAAGGGGGAAAAAAAGGAAAGAAAAGATCGATGTGCGTGTTATCAAAAGCCGAGAGAGATGTGCTGATGCTGGCACCGTGATTTCAAGAACAGATTCACGGTTTTCCTCGATGGCATCCAACCTTTTAACGGCGACGTAAGTTCTCCTTTTCTCTTCATAGATAGATTCTAACAGCAGCGAAAGATCACGACTGACTGCTGGTCAAGCAATGAAGGTTTGTATCCGGTATCGGGTGAAGTTCAATCGCCACGGGCCGTCCCCTTCCAACATATGTGGTCCAACGTTTCAACCGGAGAAAGCATCAACTGCCGAGATGCGGGGCTCTCCGTTTTGTGTGTACTAGCTGTGCCGTTCTCCCAGGCTCCCAGCATGATATGGTTGCGTTCTATGTTTGTCGTTTTGAGGTCCAGCGAACCGATTGGCGGGGATGAAGGGCAATGTTGGATGTGTACCTTGATGAACCAGGTCTTGGGGTCAATATCAGGCATCTTCCTGAACATAGGTTCACGTAAAAAAGCTGCCTTTCCAATGATGAGCTGGCATTGGCGATCTTGTATCGAAAAGCAACGCGGAGATAAATGTGACGGCCACTCAAGGCGACGTTTATCCCTCACTCCCAACTTGCAGAACCGTGGATGAGGCAGGAATTGGGAAATGAAACCCTTTCATGGCTGTTGATGTTCACCTAGTACTTATGTTGCAACGAAGCACTTGCTTCTTCGGTAACCATTGTTTGCTGGATACCCATCCTCTCCTCAACCACTTGACTGGTTGACTGGGAGAACGGCATCCGCTTGAACTGGGGATGCTGCCCACTTCCATCACTTGATCAAGAAAAACCCCAACAACCGAAGCGCAACATGAGCACCAAAGAAAAAGACAAAGAGATAGCGGGCTCACCATCCCTTAGCGTCGAAAGACTCCCCGAAACCTCGCTCTGGACCAACAGCAAATGTCTCCTCATCTGCGCCCTCGTCTCCCTTGCCAGCATGCAATACGGCCTCGACAGCGCTTGCCTCGCCGCCTTCCAAGCGATGCCCGGCTTTCTCAAAGTGTTTGGATACCCCGACCCAAGCGCTCCAGGTGGTTTTGGGATTGGCGTAAGTTTTCTCACCGCTTCATCCCTCTGTCTGGCTCCCTCTTTGGGGACTCTTCCACTGACAAGGCAACAAGCACACCTTCCAACAACTCCTTTTCTCCTTCTTGACCCTTGGCTCTCTTCTCTCCACACTTTTCGCCGGTCCCTTCTCCCACCTCTACGGGCGTCGTCCTGCGCTCCTCCTAGCGTGTTTCCTCACTGCCTTCGGCACCGCTATCCAAATTGGCACCTCTTCAGCGGCGGCCTTGTATGTGGGTCGAATAATCCTCGGTATTGGGAACGGGTTCCTCGTGACATTTTCCAATATTTATTGCGCGGAAGTAGCGCCGCCTCATCTGAGAGGTGTCATGGTTGCGCTTTTTTCGGAATGGGTCTGCGTGGGAAGTGTGCTGGGCGCGACGGTGACGAATGCGACTAAGAAGTGGCTGGGAAAGGCCAGTTGGAGGGTTCCGCTGGGCATGCTGTTTGTTGTTCCTGTGATGTTGTCGGCCGGTGTGTGGTGGGTGGTGCCAGAGAGTCCAAGGTGGGAGGTTAGTCGAGGACGGCACCAGGAGGGAAGGATGGCGTTGGAGCGCGTGAGGGCCGTAAGAGAGGACGGCAAAGAAGGGCAGCAAAGGTTGGAGGTGGAGTGGGTGGAGATGGTCAAAGGGATCGAAGAGGAGAAGAGGCTGGCGAGTACGGTTGGGCCGTTGGACATGTTCCGCGGTAGTGATTTGCGCCGAACGCTGTTGTGTTTTGGGGTGATTGCAACCCAGGCTGGTAGCGGCAGTTGGTTCTATATCAGCTACTCGACGTATTTCATGATTGTCTCGGGACTGCCGGTGGACCTGTCATTCAGGTACAGCATTCTGAAGACGTATATCGGATTCATCGGGGTCAACGTCGGCATGTACTTGATGCGCTTTGTCATGGGCCGGAGGACGCTGATGACGACGGGAGCGATGGTGCAGGGCATGTTTATGTTGGACATGGCCATCTCGGCGATAACGACGGAGGCGGGGACGTGGAGGGCGAGGGATAGTCTGATGGCGTGCAGTGCCCTGGTTAACTATGCGCATAATGCGTTTGTGGGCGTCGCGAGTTACCCGGTGGCAACGGAGCTGGTGAGCACAAGGCTGCGGCCGTACACGGTCGGGGCGGCCATCAGCCTGGGCTATTTGCTGGCGTGGCTGACGTCCTTCTGCTCGCCCTACTTTATCAACCCGGAGAACATGACCTGGGGAGCAAAGTACGGTTTCATCTGGGCCGGGCCCAATTTCTGCTGTGCCTTGTTCTTCTTTGGCTGTCTCCCGGAGCTGAAGGGTCGGGCGCTGGAGGAGATTGACGAGTTATTTGAGCAAAGGGCTCCGGCGTGGAAGCTCAAGTCGGCAGAGACGTCGGTTGTCAGCGAGGCCATCGAGGAGGTTCGAAGACGGAGGGGGGAGGTCGGGGAGGACGGCGGCAAGGCGGCGACGGTCGAGATTGTCGTGGAGCGTGAGAAGGACGTGTGATTTCGAGAGACATTGTGTTCAATTCGGATGGCCGGCGAAGGAGGTCGATTGGAGAGGGGGAACTGAAGACGTGGAGGAGAAAAAAGTGTGGAGGAAAATGATGTTGACGGGAGGGATAGGTTGTGTTGGATTGTTTGGCGGGGAATTGTTTCAATTACAGTGGATAAGGCGCTGTAGCAACCCCCCGCAAGTGGACAGCAGAGATTCCTTCTTCTTTTTTTTCAACACCACCACCAGAATCACCATCAAAACAAACACGGACATCGGCAGTTACAATCGACGGACAAATCTGGTCAATCATTGCTGTATGCTATCTGAATCAAAAATACACTCGAAATGACACCCAAACCTACACCTCTACACTATGCAAACCCGATGAAAATGCAACAACACCAATCGACGGCCACCCAACACCCAAGTCTATCGGCTCCAACCCATGAATGCACTCAAGGAACCCTCGCTGGACAATGCAACCCGGTAACCACCCAAAAACAACCCCCCAACAAAGCTGAGTACCTCTACCTACACCTCTGACCAAGTCCTCTCCGCTCAAAAGTTCCACTGCCTGCACCAGTTCTTCATCAACTCCGGAGTCACGGCGTGCATCTCCCTCATCGTCTTGGAGTACTCCTTCGTCCTCGTCATGTCGAGCGGCACAAACTTGGTTCCCTTCTTGTACCCCTCCGACCAGGTCCTGTACGTGTCAATGAGCTTGATGCCCGGGTTGCGCGTCACGTCCTCGGCCTTCTCCTGGCTCTTCTCCAGCGCCTCGAGCCACTCGTCCAGCGGCACAATCTTCTGGATCCTGTCGCCGTAGTACTCCTGGACGGCCGGCGCGAGCGCAGACCAGCTGGTGCGCTCGGGGTTGACACCGTGGAAGTAGCCGTTGATCTTGTCGAGAGGGACGTTATCGATGACGCCCGACACTTCGAGCAAAAGCTTGGCAATGGCCTCGATGGGCGTCCAGTCGATCGTAGTCATCTGTCCCAAAGAGTCCGGGAGGACACCGAGGTACGCGGACGAGGCCACGATGGAGGGCAGCCACTCCTGCTTGTTCCAGTATCCCTTCTCGGAAGACGGGCCGGCGACCTGGCCGACACGAACGACTTCGGTCGGCACCCCAGACACCTCGGCGGCCGTGTCGAAGATCAGAGAGGAAACGAGCTTGGACTGGCCGTAACCGCCCGCCGCGAGGGACAGGTCGTCGAGTGACGCCTCGGGCACGATGCGGTCCTCGTCGTGCCACCGGTCGACGGTACCGATCGAAGACACAAAAACGATGGGCACGTTCTTGTCAGCCTTGTACGAAAAGTCCACGAGGTTGCGGCAGCCGCGGATGTGAGGCTCAAAGGACTCGACAGCAATGTTAAAGTTGACGGGCCACTGGTTGTGGATCACGCGGTCGACTTCACTCAACAAGCGCGAGTAAACCTCGGGGCCGAGACCGAGATCAGCGCGCGACATGTCGGCGTGGTAGAACTCGCACTTGGAGAAGTCGGTGGACAGGCCACGGCCCGACGAGGAAGCCGTCTGGCGCGCCTTGCCGTCCTCGGAACGGTTGAGGCAGATGATCTTGGACACGCGCGGGGAGGAAGAGCAGATGTCGATCAGGTAGGAGCCGATGCCGCCCGTGGTGCCGGTAATGACCACCACCTGACCCTCGTCGGCCGGCGCAGGCTTGTTCTGCTTGGGGGTGGGAAGGTCCCGCGTGTACTTCTCCACAAGGGCCTCCATGACGTGGTGCTCGTTGTCCAAAGTGCCCTGGTTGCTGTCCTTGTTGACGATCGACAAGAGGTAGTCGGCCAGGCGCTTGGGAGTGGGGTTGCCGTAAATGACACGGGTGGCCAGCGCCGAGGCTTCAATGTTCACGCCGGCAGCGGCCAGGCCAGCACGGATGAGGCGAGACGCGGTGATGACTTGCATCGAGTCGACACCGGCCGTGAAGAAGTCGGTGTCGGCCTCGAGCTTGGGAGCGTTGAGGGACGTCTCAAATAGCTTCTCGATGGAGACGATCAAGGCGTCGGACGAGGAAAGATCCAGCTTGGGAACCTCGTCAGTGGCAACGCCCTTCTCGGCATCCTCGTAGATCTTGTCGATCTCGGCCTTGTACATGTTGATGGTACCAGGGCGCAGGACGGTGCCCTTACCTGCGCGCAGGAACGGCTTGCCGGGGGTCGAGAGAGCCATGTACTGGCGGCCGATCTGGCCATGGGCGACCGTCTCCTTATTGACGCGGACGACGGTGGGCCAAATCTCATCCAACAAAGCCTTGCGGCCCTCCTCGGTCCCGGGGTGCTCCACGGGCTCGATGATCACAGCAGGCTGGAACCGGTTCGTGCCCACGACCACGGCGCCCATGACCTTGGGGTGGCCTTGCAGCGTCTCCTCGATGGTGATGGGGTTGAGTTTCTCGCCGTTGGAGAACACAATGATGTTGTCGGCGCGGCCCTGGTAGATCCAAAAGTCCTCGTGGGTAGGGTGGCGCTTGTACAAGTCCTTGGTGCTGTACTCGCTGGAATCGGGGAACGTGTAGAAGAAGCCCTGGAGACCGGGGTGCTTGTCCTTGCGGACGATTACCTGTTCATAAGTCGACTCGCCGTCATGGAGGCGCCAGTCAATGCCGAAGAGCTCCGTGTCAAAGTTGAAGTAGCGCCAGAGCTTCTGGTCATATTGCCAGTAGAAGGGGAAGGGAGTGAACTCGGTCGCCGAGATGAGGTTGCAGAGCGTCACGTTGTTCTCGACCAGGCGGTCACCGGCCTCGGGAGCGAGGTTGCCGCCGCCAAAGGACACAAAGTTGAGCTTCTGGAGGGACTGGATAGCTTTCTCGTCCTGGGAGAGCTCCTCGAGGATTGCCGGCGGCAAGATCATGCCCTCAACGTCAGCGTACTCGATGTAGTCAAGAACCAGGTCGGAAGACAGTGGACGCTCGCCGATGCCCAAAGCAGCAGGGGTGTCCCAATAGTGGATCATGAGCATGGAGATGTACATGGCAGCCGCGTGGAAAAGAGGCACTGGTTGTCGTCATTTGTTAGCTTCGGACCCTGATCGACTATCATGGTTTTTTTGGGGGGGAACACTCACTAGGATGCATAAGCCTCTTCGCCCGCTTGCTCATCTCCACGATCCACATGAGCTTGCCGTCCTCGCGCGGCGGAAGATTGTGAAACTGGTCCGCTACAGCCAGCATACCCTGCCTGGCCACGATGGGCTTGGGAAATCCAGTGCTTCCAGAAGTGTGCAGCACCATCAGGGGATCCCACTCAGCCTCCTCAAATGTCTTGTTGTACGGAAAGTCCTCCTGGTCGGCCGGGAACCACTCATCAGCGGGCAGCGCCAGAATCGCAGTCATCTCGCGCTCGTGTAGCCATGGCTGGACGGTAGCCTTGTAGCTCTGATCAAACACCAGGATGTTGCAGTTCGTCAGCTCAAACAGGTTCACCTGGGCCTCGGCGGAGTTGCGAGTGGAGATGAAGAGAGCCTGATAGCCGGCCTTGACGGCGCCTAGGGCGAAGACTAGGTAGCGAACGTCGTTGGGGCCGATATACGCAACGGTCGGGAAAGAGCCGGGCGCGGCAGCACCGCAGACCCGTGTGAGCTTGTGCGCGATGCGGTTGATGCCGTTGTAGGCGTCAAGGTAAGTGAGGATCTTCCACCCATCTTTGGGGTCGGATGAACGAGGTACAGACACCCATTCCCGGTTGGGCTCGTTGTGGGCACGCTCCTTGATAATGTCGAGGATAAGGCGGCGGCCGTAAGGGGGATTTTGTTGTTGGCTCATGGTGATGTGTGTATTAGGTCAAGGGTGTTGTAATACCGAAGAAGGATGGAAGAAGTCGAAAAGTCGGATGTAGCCGATATTATGAGATGATAGGCTGTCGTCCCAATATTAGATCTATTAGTTCGGATGGTCAAGGTAAGTTGTCCAAGTTGATGGGTATGGCTGAGCGTGAGGGAAGGCTTCCTCCGTCAGAATGATTGATGGATGGTGATGAGATGATGATTTCACAAAAGTTCAGTCTCAGTCGGTGGGAGAGAACGGAATATATATCATAGGTATGTGCTTCTTTTTCCTCCGCCTTCCCCCTTCTGCTTTCCACTACCTCCATTACACCCTCTCGAGTCTTCTTTCCTTCCGGTGTGCCCGGGGATCCTCGCGACGCGAGACGAGGCCATGGTATAACCAGAAGACAGACAAGACAAGCATCCACCGCCACAGCCAGTTGTCCACAGCAAAGCACAGAGCATCTGGAACATGGGGACCCCATGAAGACTGGGCAGTAATGTCGGTCATGGACGTTAGATGGAGCAGCCATGAGCACACACCTCCATTCCTCTTCATTGTACCTTGGCAGTCTAGGTACCCTACACGCACGCCAATGACTTGTGGACTGCCAGGTGCTGAAACAAACGCGGACCAGTGTACCTACCGACTTCCGTCCAAAATGGGTGGGAACTTGTAGCCCGGGTTTTTGTTCCGGCACCTGGCTGCTAGAGGTGCCAAGGACATGGAGTGGCGGGGTGCCAGTCATTCAAGGTCATGAGATGCTTCCTATCCTGCTCGTCCAACTTGAAAAGTGATGTTGCGGTGGAAGACCCACGACGAAACAAGCTTTCTGATCGGGAGCGGACCGCCGGTCATGGCCCTGTCACCTTGTTGGTGCCGGGACTTGCGGCACGTTTTCAGGGGTTGATGTTCGTAGTGTAGCAGATACAGTAGACACCCCTGCTTCGACCAGTCCTCTTTTATACCTACCTACCTATACACTATAAAAACACCCTCAAATGTGCCCGAGTCGTTTCCCCATTCTACAGCTGCCAGCACGCGACAACTTGCAAAACCTCGAAGCCAGATTAGTAAGTACCTGTACCTAGAAGGATGCGTCTTTTCTATGTCAGAATTTGAAAATTGCTGGCCTCTATACCTCTACCTAGGTAGGTAGCAGACCGTATCGAACCGGATTTTATCCCCTTGCCGACCTGGCCAATCATCAAATCTGCTCGTCACGTTTTGGCGTCGTCTTCAGATCATTCTCTAGATGTAATTGGTCCTATACTGTGGAGATAGCACAAATCTAGTGTGAATGAAAGAAAAGCGGTAGTGGACATGGACAGCGACGACTGCTCTAGCGTTATCGATGGGATGGATTTGATCGTCGTCCCAACACCGCCTGGCTTGCCGATACGTCCGGTCGATGTAGAAATCGTAGCACATTGATCATCATCAAGGGTTTCGGGAGCGTTCGACGGCAGTTGCTCGAATCTCCATGCAGACTGACAAAGTTGAAACTCCATTTGAATTTATCCCCATGCTATATCCTAACCAATTACATCGTTCGCTGTGGTCGACTTGCTGCGTCTGAGTGCCGGCCTGCAGGGTCTTTCCTGATATGCAATTGGCAGTAAAACCTGGGGATATATCCGACAAGAATTATTGGTATCGCTAGTGTCACCGCTGCCGATATTCTTAGCCGACCGACCTCGCTGTTTGTGTTACGAAATCGAAGACAATGCGATGTCCTATTCTCATCAGATCGATGCTTGCCCGCTCTCTGTCATTTCCGCGGGCAGTTATTCCCGCGGAAATCCGGACAAGAGAAGCCGCTGTTTTCCATGTCTTCCTGCCCTTGACCGCCTGCCTGTCTCATGCATCAGGAAGTCGAGAAGGGACCTCGAATGTTACCCACTTGGACCATCGAGATGATATCGAGATGGGATGTTTGTGGTGTTTTTTCCAACACGGATTTTTCAGTTTTGTCCTCTACTTGGCCACAACACATTGACCAACTGGGGTCAAGATCTCATGTAGCAACACCTTGACCTTTTCACCAACCCGAGGGTGCGCTTAGATTATCCAATGCCAAACCGCGTTTTCGTCAGCATGAGCAAGTATTGCAACAAAGATTGCAACCGACCGTGAATGTGAAACTGAACTCGCGAACGCGAATCACGAGTGGGCTTCCTCGACGTTGGTGTTTGGAGCACGAAGAAGCACCAGCTGGAAGGGTGGATAATAACAGACCAAGCAAAAGCCCTTGATCTTTCCCACGCCACTCCCCACTTTCGGTGCCGACATCGCAGTATCTGCAACAGGAGGTGAACAAGTCGGCAACAGATAGCCGAGGCCTTAGCTCAGGGGTCATGGAAGCTTCTACACTACACTACGGAGCGTCCTCCACCTGTCGACCCATGAGGTCCAGTTTTACAAGGCTGTTGTGGATCCCGATAAGCTTCACGCTCCCCGATCCATCCCAGTAGGACTGACGTCGTGCTGCAGGAATCCAGTCCATATAGGTCCGGCTTCCCGACTGGCTGACTCTCTATTGCCGACCGACCCGTTCCTCCCTTTTCAGTGCCCGTTCTGGGTGCCCAGGCAGCGTTGGGTAGGTACCCTCGAAGAATCGAGTTTCTCGATAAGCTTGTTCATCCCCCGACTGTTGGTCCCTGATTGCCAGCATCTTTCATCACGGCTTCTGGCATTCACAGATCTTCACAACAAGGGACCTCCTCCCCCTCCTCCTCCGCTTGCCCTGGAAGACGGATAGCGGAACGAAGATGAACAGACATAGCCATTGTTTCAAACGGCCCAACTCGTTCTTGACAGCAGGAAATAGTTTGGAATACTTGCATCTATGAATAGCTGCCGGCGAGGGTTGCCGAACTGGCAAGTGGGAAGGGAAATGAGTACATAGAAGTAAGTCATCTCCGTGGTCACAACATGAATAGTAGGTAGCGCTGGTGAATCTCGATCCCCTTGTTTCAGACGATCTCGATCTGTGCGTTGATCCCCGCGGGCGGCCGAGGTATTTTAGGGACTGGATTCGGCACCGGACCCTGACCGAACTTCAAGCGAGCACCACGGAAATCGTCGGGCCCGTTCGCCGATGTGAAGGTACCAATCATGCCCGCGCAATTCCCATATCTCGAGACACGATGCGATGTACGGATCAGCGGCTATGCAAACCACGTCGTCCCTGCCATGAATGTGCCCACACGGCCGGCCAGCACAAATGGAAGGCACGGCAGGATAGGCCCCTTTGTCCGATCTGCAGTGGTTCAGTGTCCCTGTGGAGCCTCCAGATCGTAAGATGTTTGCGAGAGGCCCGTGCTCGCTTCTTGCTTCATGAACCCCCGGCCGATAATCGTACCTCTAGGACTGGTTGTTGGGGATGCTCGGTGAGATGGCGAGATCTCTTTCTCATTTCCCGTCCCATTACCGCTGTTTCCGCCAGTTCGTGATCCAGCTTTCCCGAGGCGCATCATTACCTCTAGCTTTTGAGAAAGACAAACAAACACACGTCCATACATTGACGGGAACCACCATCTCCAACTTCACTCCTCCTCTACAGGTAGTTTCCGCTCCCAGCCAACAACTTCCTCCCCTCCTCAGTCTCCTCCAGCGCCTTCCTGACCACCGCCTCCAAATCCTCCTCCTCCAAGCCCAACAGCCCCATCGCATACTCCTGCCGGTTCGTCCAATCCCCTTCCACCACCCCCAGCGCAAAGACCAGATCCTCAATTGCCTCTCCTGCCCCCTCCCCCCCTGCATCCGCCACCCTCTTCCTCTCGTTGATATATTCCTCCGTATCGACATACTGCCTTTCGTACTTGTTGCCCGTCACCTTTTCCAGCACATCCACAACCTCATTCTGAGAGACGAGGAACGACTGCAACATGAGGACTTTGTTCCTCGTCTTCTCGAGATGTCCAGCGTCACCCGTCAAAATACTCACCACGGCCTTTGACACCTGCCCCAGCGTCGCCTGGGAGCTCTTTTCGTTCCCGGAGCCGAGGATATGCGCCCTCGGAGGCTGTCCGAACGGATAGAAATGCAGGAATCCGTTGGTCAAGCCCCAGTCGAAAAAGTGGCCGTTGACCAGACTGGTCCAGCTTAGACGGCCTCCGCTGACCTCGCTCAACATCTCCAGTGTCTCGCGAACCTGCACCTTCTTGCCGAACAAGGGTACAAGATCCTGCGCTCTTTTGCTTCGGGCATCTACGCTGCCGTAGTCGGCCGGGATGAAACGGGTTACTGTGCCGGAGGCGTAGGCCGCTGCGGCGAGGGTGAGATGGGCTGGGAGGTCGCGGAGGGGGAAGGCGGCAATTACGGCGTGTTGACCGTGGAGGGCCAGAGTGAGTTCGGGGACGGACCAGGAAGGGGCGGTGGTGATGGTGAGGTTGGGATGGGAGGGGTAGGTGGATTTGGAGGAGGCGCGTTGGAGAATGGTGATGTGCAGATTGGTTTTGAGGAGGTGGGAAAGAAGGACGCGGCCCAGGTTGCCGGAGGCACCGACGAGGGTGACATTTTTTATCGGGGTTTCCGAAGACATATCGCCGTAATCTGATATCCGGACAAGGTAAGTGCAGGGACAATGACTGGTTGGTGATGTCGTGATGGGGGTGTGTGATGCTGTTGATGTTGTGCCGGTGTTGGTGTTTCGAGGCAGATTGCAAAGTGAGGGGAATTTGGGGAAATGAGGGGAGGGGGTCGACAATCGCTGATGAGCTGGCGGGTAGATCGATTCATTCCTCAAAAAGGTGAGGCAATTAGACAGTTCACAATTGGCAAGGCTAGTGAATAGGATGCCATGATTGCCATCAATGCTACACAAGACGTATCACGTAACACAAAGAGTGAAGGCATCGTGGGATAAGGTCCCGTTGTGGTGATTCATCACCGACAAACGGGATTGTTGACAGCCAAAAGGGGGTCAGGACATTGTGAATGTGGCCAGCCCCAAGATGACATAATCGCAGGGGAGGAAAAGGCCGATGCGAACCCTAACCCAAAGAAAGTGTTTGTCAACGGCCGGTGACGTGAAGACAAAACTGAAGCAGCCATGTTCCGCGTCCTTGATGAGGCTGTTCACCAGGCAAGAACGAACCCGCAGAGGAAGAGAATAAGGTAGGTAACCAGCTGAATGGTGACGATGCGTATTACGGTCTATAACCCACCCTTTCCGGTAGACGAACGCAGCTTCCGGTAGACCGGAACTGGCAACCACCTCCTCCACTGCTGTACCCGATTCTCATACATTTGCTGTTCCACGCTGTTGCATGCTTTCGCCGATGCATCCGAGCCTGCTGGTGTTCACCTCCTTCACCATGAATATCGAGTTGGGTATTGCTCTCAAGAAAAATAGGTACATTTGATGTTACACAGACCTTTGCTGGTCCTCATGCTCCTAGTGCTTTTTGAGCGGAGTCTCATCCATCATTTTTGCCCATCCACAATTGAGGTAGATAGGTACCTCTAGAAACGAGGGAACCTAGCGACGGCACTCCCCTTGGACGCAAAAGCCAGCGCCAACCAGCCCGCAATCAGAAACAGACCTCCGACTGGTGTCACAGGACCCAAGAACCTGAAGCGCTCGGTATCGAGGGTCAAAGCATAGATGCTGCCGCTGAACATGGTCATGCCTGCGGTGAAGAGGGCGGAAGCGACGGGGTGATGACTCGCGACGAGGATGACGGCCGAGTGGACCAGCTACACATTGAGTCTCATGAGCATGCCGGATGAGGGAAGAAGGAGTTTGAGCAAGTAAGTTGTCGTACCTGGTAGTGAGCAGCCGTCGACCAACTGGCAATCTTGTTGGGATCAGAAATGCGCTTCTTGAGCCCGTGAGCACCAAAGGCGCCAAGACCGACGGCGGCGGCGCCGTAGATGGCACCGACTTTCCAGAAGAGGGAGGTGCTCATTTTGGGGGTGTTTTCTGGATCGGGAGAATGGTGATCAGTGGGGAGGAGAGTGGTGGTTTCACTGGCAGGTTCGGATTCGGGATCGTGATGGGCTTGGTTTGCAGACATGGAGATGGTATCACGAATTCAAGCAACTAATTGCAACAATGGAGTTGAGTGGACAAGTGGAGTGCTTCGGGGTTCGGTGGACTGCGACGGCCGATGGAGGGGAGGGATGTCGCCAAGGTTTGAAGAAGTGACAAGGGGAGGAGGAGTGACGTGATCACGCACGTGCACCGCCAAGCTTAGGTACCTGGTCCTGTACCAAGTTCCCCACTCAACCACTGCCCCCCCCCCCTTCTCTCACCAGGCATCCCCGCCGTCACCATCACTGAATGGAAGCCATCACTGAAAGGGCGAACGACCAACGCATTTCACTTCCCTTGCTTCCTGTCATCACATCGAACCCCAAACATGCCCCTAGTACCAACAACGCGACAAGTCATCCCCGGTGCCGGAGTCAACATCGTACTCAAAGTCGACCAGCCCACCGGCCGCACCGTATCCGGCACCATCCAGGATGTGCTCACCAAAGGAAACCATCCCCGCGGCATCAAAGTCCGGCTCACTGATGGACGAGTTGGCCGCGTGCAATCCATGAACAGCAACCCGGACAGTGGAAGCGCCGACATGGAATCCTTCAATGCCACCTTTGACTCTCCATCACGCCAGCCCCATCACCGTGGCGGTTCACGTCCAGACCGTGGCGGACATTCCCAACCTCCCCCGGCGCAGCAGTTCGGTCTGGATGCGTATATCAAGCCGGCCAAGACCAAAGGAAGAAGAGGTGGAGCTGGTCAGGCTTCTACCGTATCCGATCCTATGCCGTCTACTACTACTACTACTACTACTACTACTACTACTATTGAACCGGAAGAGGAATCGGTATGCCCGGTATGTGCCGATTTCCGGGGTGATGCCACGGCGGTTGCTCATCATGTAGCTGCTCACTTTGGTGAATGAGGAGGGACTATCGGGAGGTTACAACAATTCTCAATATTATGAAACTTTCACCTACCTCTACTCTAGGGACGAACGGACGGACAGCTACACCATCCCGGACCCCTACAGCTTTCTAAACATTACATCCTTTGTCGGATCTGGAATGGTTCCCGCCGCAATATCCCAGTCCCTATACCTCTCCGTCTCTCCCTCCACCAGTCCCATCTCATACGTCATCACCAGGTTCGCCAAAATCATCTTGATTTCATTTGCCGCAAAGAACCTTCCAGGGCAGGCATGCCGTCCATATCCGAATGTCAAAAACTCCTTGTTGATGCTCACAAACTGGCCCGACGCCGCCTGTTCGGCCTCCCCCTTCTCCCTAGCCTCGTTTCTGAGGTTATAGAACCTCAACGGATCAAACACATCCGGGTGGGAATACGCTTCGGGATCCCGCGAGACAGCGTAGTTGGGGACTTCGATGGTCGATCCCTTGGGGATGACTTGTCCGTTGGAGAGAGCAAAGGTCCTGAGCACCTTGCGGCTGAAGGAGGTCTGTCCCAGAGGATGGAAGCGCATCGTCTCCTTGAGGAAGGAATCCGTCTTCTTCATGGCCTGCAGGGCCGAGGTGTTGAACACGCCCTTGTGTTCTTGGAGGACCGACTGGATCTCTTCACGCAGCGTGGCTTGCAACTTGGGGTCCGCGGCAAGGCTGTAAACCGCGTGCGTCGTCACCAACGTGGTAGTATGGATGGCAGCGAAGCTGATAGCGAGCTGCAACCTGGCCAACTTTCTCGTTGTGGTCGTGTCCTCCCCCCACTTGCCGTGTTGCTTCCCTTGTCCCTGATCCGCTGAATCCATCAACCACTGCAGCATGTCGTTGTCCTTCTCTTCCCCCTTTCTTTGCTTCTCCCTGCGGGCCTCGACGACAGGCCTCAAGAAAGCCGTGGCATCCCGCTCCATCTGCGCCAACTTCCGAACCTCCTGCAACCGCCACGCGGCAATGGGCCTGACCCAGGGATTCATCCTCTCCACGGCCCTCTGCGCCTCCATCACGCTGACGGTATAACCCACGGCGGCCTCTAAGTAGCGCTCATCGTGACATAACTCGGGGCCGATGAAGACGCGCCCGGACACTTTGGCGACGATGCGCAGGAGCTTGGAGTTGATGTTGATGGGGGCCCAGTCGGACGGAGAGCTAGACATGAGGGGGGCAATTTCCTGCGAGAAGGCGATTTGCACCTCTTCGGATAACTGTGGGTTGAGGCGAGGGAGCGAGGGCGTGAGCGAGGTCTTGACGGTGTGCGGGATAATAGGTTCGTGGGTCGGGATCAAGGTGTATTTGGTGTGCATGCTCTAAGACGGCTTAGCATTCGTCGGACGAAACGCGAGGAGAAAAAGATCCATGTGGGGGGCAGAAGAACTGGAAGGAAGACGGAAGGATGCACATGTTGGATGAGACGGAAAAAAAAAAAGAGAAGAAAACTCACATCATCATTAGCAGCATCAAAGCTCAGCACATCATCTGGCAACTTCTTCAGCTCGTCCAAGAAGTTCGGGGAAACGACAATAACGTTGCCCGCGTTGGGAGTCACGATGCGGAAGAGACCATGTTTGAACTGCGTATTTTTGCCAATGTTAGCATCCTTCAGTTGTTTTTCTTTTCTCTTCCGCGTCCATATTTGTTGCTTTTCGTTGCCCGATTCACCTCATCTCTTGCCAGTACATCCACATCCGAGGGTGAGACAAACCTTGGTATATCCCTCAAGATAAAGATCCTTTGCTTTGGTTAGATACGCCTGCCTCTTCTTCTCGTACCCATGGTACTCTTCGCCGACGATCGGGAGGTTGGACAGCGGATTCGGCGCGAAGAAGCGCTGGAAGACGGCGAAGGCCAGAATGGCTGCAATGGAGGGCAGCACAAGTGGGAGGAGTGCTGACGCCGAGTGCGCCAGTTGGGTGAGGGCCATGATGGCTATTGTCGCTGAGCCTGGTAGCTCTCTTGATCTCACTTCAAGGGCGTTGGTGTAGTAGGTAACGTGAAGGTAGCAGATGCTCGATGGGAGCAGTGGTGAGAGCATGAGAGAGAATGACTGACTGCTTCTTAGCCTACAGACCGAGTGGGAGATCGCGCTCTATATACACCACACCCAGTCCTTGATTCGATTGAATCTATGCCCTGTGCAATCTTGACGCCTCAAACGGAAACAACTCCAGTCGAACGAACGACCTCCCGCCTTAGCGGTGTTATTCCAAGAGGCCGCAATTGAGGGTCCATTTTTGGTGGGGGAGACCCAGGATTGGCAATGACGATCATTCCGACACGACACCAGGGCCCGTCGACTAGTGTCTCTGGGGTTGTTCGGTCTCGGTTTTCTCTACATATCACTGGGCCAAACCGATGGTCGCAAAATCATCCCGGAATCAATGGATGGATACCACCATGTTCCAGGGTTCCTTCCACGGCATCTTGAGTCATTGTGCGAGTGGTGGAAGTGGAAGATTGTGAAACATGACCAAATCGCCGGCTGACTGCCTGGGAGCATGATGTATCCATCCGAAGACTCGGACAACATAGAGGCAGGCAGTAGTCGGCGAAAGGGCTTCCTTCTTCCATCATTGCCTTGAATCCCATGTAAAATCGACGGTTACATTTGCCTTGATCCAAAGATTCGGACTCATACCGACACGTAGGCAGTCAGTAGTAGGGCTTTCTCTTGCCATCGTTCCGGCGTAAGGTGGTTGCTGCATAACTCCTATGCCCATTGATGATGATATCAAGAACTTTGCCTGAAGTCAAGGTAGTATGTATTCCCCCCCCCCCCCCACTTTTTTTTTCTTTTTTTTTTCTTCTGTGGTTCTGGTCCTCATCTTGGCAGCTTTTGTTTATTTTGATTCTAGTCAGTTTGCTTTGAACCGCTCGACGTTGTGCTACGGATCTAGTGTACATGATGGATGGTCGATTGTAAGTGCGCTAAAATTCATCCTTGTAGCAATCTGTAGTGTAGACGGAATGGCAAGTCTAGTGAAACGCTCGCATTCGCATTCGGTTTTGAAATTGATTCGCTCTTCGGTGTCTTGGCTGTATGATCCTTGTGATTACCTACTTTACTGACGGAAGGTAGAACCGTTTTGGTTCACTATGATTCATTTTCACTTGCCATGACACTTTTTTTCTTTTTTTTTTCCTCTCCCACCAGTTCGTCTTGATGTGAGCTACTGAGTAAACAGACCTGGACTGGTCCAGCGGCCACGTCCCCGCCAAAACCCATGGTGAGGGCGGGTTTAACTTAGTCGGGCGTCACCGAAATCTGACATCATTTCTAAGATCGATATATGTCGGTCGGTGTATCCGTACCGTGCCTCCAAGCCCCAGCCGCCAACCCCTTCCTTCGAGAGATGTAGTCCTTAGCAGCGCGAAAGCGCCCCATGCGTGTCCAGATCGAAATCTAGAAGGGAGGTTTTACCAGTGTCGGCACTTGCACCAAGCCTCACACGATGCCGGTGAGCAATTGCCGATAAACATCAGCAAACGTTGGGTTACATGCAGTTTGAGACTGAGTAAGATAGGTAGATCTCTTGGGGCTGAGTGAGCGATATGGTCCGTGATCCGTCCAGGAGCGTGCCCCTGGGTTCATGTACATAGTATGCCGCATACCTATATTCGGGGCGTTGGGTTTTAGGATCCCAGGAAATCAGACATGGTCTGCAAGCATAATGCAATATTTATGCCCATCACGGCAGAATTTCTATGCAAGACGGCGATTCTGAATGTCCCCACCCTCCAGCTCTCTTGAGAAAGTGGGTAGAAAAGACAGGGCACCAGAAGGAATCGAATTTACAGTGCTCCGGGCTCTTACCAATGCTGTCACCCCCACCCAACTCTTTTCATCAGGCATAAAAAGCACATATTCGTACAGTATGCTAACGGGCAGATAAGTAGATTCTGATATCCTGGAATCCTAGTATGCGGTAGCGAGGGGTAGGGGCAGAGTGCAGTGTAGAGGGGTAGGCAGAAGGTACCTAGGTACTGTAAGCACCTTGGGCACGAGCTAAGGTAGGTACATGTAATGTACTCGTCGGTTAGGTGGATTCGCTTCGCCATTCAGCCAACCAACTCTCCCGCCTCGTCCCTTCAGGTCCCTCTTCGGTTGGCTGAGGCTGTAATAAGCGGGCCCCCAAAGGAGGCCCTACATGGCTCTGGCAGGTGCACCTAACCGATGAGTATCATAGGTACCTCTAGGGAGTGCTGGGAATCTGTGTCATTCGGGTCGCATACTAGAGGTACGCCTGCAATTGTCCGTTATCCGCATTCGGGCTCATCCAGTGGTCCGTTGACGGGCCAAGGCAATGACAACGGGCGAATTCAGGAAGAAACTACTACTAGAGGTACCTATGTAGAGGTAGGTATGATGACGCCAGGTGTCTTGGCGACTGCAGTGGAACGGGCCGGCATCGACATCGCAGCAAGTCCGCATCCGAGAGAGGAGTCCATGTATGAGAGAGAAAAAAACTGCAAGGAAAGCACGGGGCATGGAGATGTGCATGGCATTGAATTGAACCATCCGATCTGGAAGGTCAAATGCAGGGCGGTTCAAGTTCGCGGCACCACTGCGCCAATGAGGGGAGCAGTATTCCCGCCTGGTACGTCCCTTACCTACTTCCCGACACTGCATTGCGTAGGTAGTTTCAGCTGCGACCTTCCCGCACTTTTGAAAATATATTCAACTCAGTTGGGGTAGGTGCGGGACAGTAGCCCGGTGGTTCCTTACAACCAGCCGTCGACAAGCGACATTTGCCATATCCGTATGTTACACGTATGTTACAAGGCCTCATCGCAACTGACATCCCAAAGAGAGACTGCGTGCCCCTTGCCAATTGGAATATATTCATTGAGTAGTCCGGTAGGATCCAGACAAATTGGACAAAACGAAGAGGCATCACGGACGAATCCGGGTACCTCAAGGAGCAAGATAATGTGCCCCTCTTCGGTAGGAACTTGACACAGAATGCACTCTGTCGTTACTAATCGCTAGGTACCTAGACATTATGTGACATGAACAGCGACGGATCTGGGAGCATCAAGACAGCGAGACTGCTTGGTCATCATCCATCTCTTGCCGCTATTATTTATTCATCTGACCCGTGGTGCCCCTTTCTCTTACAAGCCATTTTCCCGGTCGAGCTCGTGCTTCTTGGCCCGTCGATTCCCGTCCATGTCCATCACGACAATCATTATTGACTTTAATGTTTATGAGGGTTTTGAGTATTATTCAAGCATCCATCTGATCTCTTGATCATGCGCACTCCCCATCCAATATTCATTCCCCTTTGGAGTAGACGCTACCTTTCACAACAACCACCAGCACCCAACCAGGTGCTCGCCTCGCGGAGAGGTGAGAGGCTCAAGTGAGTAAGTGGTCTGAACGAAACATACTACTACCTTTACTACTTACCTATTTATACCTTAATACAGACACAGTGAGCTGCTAGCCCAGCCCCGGCCCCAACCCTGGCCCCGGCCCTGGCTTTCGGATTCGGATCGATGTTCTTTTCAGTGGTGGTTTCCGGGGTGCACGTCCCACACTTCCATGGATCTCCACCCACCCACATCAGTTCGTCCGCTCGTCACCTCCTTTCTCTCCAGAAACTTGGCGCTCGCGGGCTCCCACGCCATCCACACCCATTTTATCCCATTCTCCATCTCGCTTTCGCATTTTTTTTCTCAGGTTGCTCTGAGACGCTTTTATCAGGACACCCTCCTAACCCTGACAGCACCTGGACACACCATCCAGACCGCAAAAGGTTACGACAGAACGGCGTAACGACAATACGTTTCTTACCAGCGACGCACTGCACGGGAGTTGTCATATTTCACCAGAATTACCGGTGGAGATTTTGGTTACTAGTGGGGCCGGTACTCACTCGCACTGACGCGACACTCCAACTCAAATCTCTATATACTTACACGAGCTGGTACTTTACTACCATACCCGAATACGAACTACACCGTGTTTCCCTTATCGCTTTGGGACAGTTCGATTGGATCGTGTACATACAGGTAGATGTACCAATGCCAGGGCGTGTGGTTGCGACTCATCGAGGACCGCGTCTGGGATACACCAAATCTCGTACCGGCTGCACACGATGCAAGCAGCGACGCGTCAAAGTGTGTACTATTTACTACCCTAACTTGTTCTTATATAATACTAACATTCCGCTTACTTAGTGTGACGAGACTAAACCATCTTGTAAAGCATGTCTACGCCACGGTGTTATATGCAGTTTAATGTCGTCGGGACAAACGGAAGCTAGCGGCTCCACAGCCGGGCCAAGCTCAACAAGGTCCGGGCCGGGGTCTGGGTCCGGGTCCCGGCTCGGCACTACTCCACTAACCGGCAGCGGCGGCACCTCTTTGAGTTTTGCTACCCCAATCGCCCCCGGCCCCTCTCCTGGCTCCGAGTTCCGTCCTCTAGCCACTTTTACCCCAGCAACCGGCAGCGCTAGTGATCCTGTCGGCTCATCCGGCGCCGCTCCCGCCTTTGGCTTTGGGTCTATCTCCGGGTCTAGCCCCGTACCCGGCTTCGGTCGAACTTTTCCTCCAATGTCCGGCGCCGCACCCACTTCTGGCTCCGGGTCTGGCTCCGGGTCTGCGCCCGTGTTCGGCTCCAGTCGAAATCTTCTCCCAGTACCCAGCACCGCTGCCGCCTCTGGTTCCGGCTCCTTTCTTTCACCACCCGGCAGCGCTGGCAACCCTTTTACTCCAACCTCCAGCCCATACTCAACGTCCCCAGCAGGAGTCCATCAAGCTGTCGAATCCGGGATGCATACAACAAACCAAAACAGCCGCAATTCTTCATTTCCAGCATCTCGTGGCGCGATCACTATCACCCCTCCTACACCCAACCGTCAGACCCCCATGGCTATCCAATCGCTCACCAACCCTCCATACCCAACTCCTGTCGAAGTCTCTGGCTCCTCCTCACCTGATTTATACTCAACCACAAGGCCTGCAGGGCAATTGTCTCTTCCTACTATCCTGCCACGAACCAGTCCCCACCCCTCAGCCGGCGCTCCTCACAACCCAGTCCCTCAGTCTCGCTCCCGCCATCCCACCCCCTTGCAGCCGAGTCCCATGCCAATCGAATCATCCAATATTCCCGCCACCGATCCCTTCCGCTATCTCACCCAAGCTTTCACAAACCCCAAATCCCAGTTCCCCAGCTGCCCCTCCAACTCAGAGCTCGGCCCTCAGCTGCCGAACTTGGAACTCGTTTACCATTATACCGCCAACACTTACAAAAGTCTAACACGAGGAGTACACGAACACATCTGGAAGGTCCAAGTGCCCAAGTTAGCCTTTTCATACCCATTTTTGATGCACAACCTCATGTCCACGGCTGCTTTCCACCTAGCGTGTACGGAACAGGATGAAGAAAAAAGGCAGAAGTGGGGTACCGAAGGCAATAGGCATTTCGACTTGGCGTTGAGAGGAATGACGGAGATCTTGCGCAAGGAGGGCGTCACGCCGGAGAACTGCCATGCTGTTTTCGCTTCCAGTTCGCTGTCGTTTATTGGAGCTTTGTGCGGTAAGGGGCCGCTGTTTGGTCCGGCTTATAACAGGGAACAGGAAAAGATACAAGCCCCTATGATTGACGAGCTACTGGGAGTCTTCATACTGGTCAGGGGTATTGGCAGTATCGTGGTTGCCCAGGAAGACATCCTCCACGAGGGCCCTGTGGGCGGGCTGTTCGATGGCGAACCTAGTGGGGAGGATCACCCTAGCATGGACAGATTGGTGCACCAGCTCAAGGGATTTTACCAGCGTGTTGGTAGTATTACAACAAGGCGTCCTGGTTTTTTTGCTTCTCCTCCAAATCTTGAGGATACCCGGCCTCCGATGAGCAACATCCCAAAGGAACATCAAATCATCCTGGGAGAGGTCACAGCCATGATAGATTCAATCAAATTTGCATTAACCAAGGGTGGAATACCTGAGCAGGAAATCATTGCGGTTTGGCCCATTACAATGTCTAGTGACTTTGTGGGCTTGTTGCAAAAACCAAAGGTGCCTCGACAACAACACGAACCCTCCCAGCCATCCACTTCCGCCACCGGCTCTTTCACATCACCACCGCCAGGTGGACGAAATCCGATCGCGTTAGCTTTACTAGGGTATTATTGCTGCGTCATGAAGGGAACGGAGTGTGAGTGCTGGTTCACCAAGGGCTGGGCCGAGGCACTCATTAAGGAGGTAATAGCCGAGTTGGAGGAGTTGGCAGAGGTAACTATGAACATGACCTCTGGGAGCGGGAGCGGGTGCGGGAGTACAACGCCGGAGGTTCAGGAAGGGGATCATGACCAAGACCAGACGGGGGTTGACGGACCAGTAGAGGTATGGAGGGAGTGGGTGAGGAGAGAATGGCTGGAGGATGCGCAGTGGGCCAGAAAGTGGATTACCACAAAGGCTGAAGAGGAATTGCCCAAGCCAACATTCTTCTCGGGTAACCCTATGGCGGATGCCATGCATGTGATGATGGATGCTGAGGGTCAGCAACCGGGCGAGGATGCCCCTGTGATGGAGCTGGATACTCAGGATCAGCAACCGGGCGCGGATGATCTGGATCCTGTGATGGATACAACTCAAGATCAGCAACAGGATGCCCCTATGATGGATACTACCTCAAGTCAGGATCAGCAACCGGGCGCCGACGCCCCTGTGACAAAAACTCGAGATCAACAACTGGACGTGCCCGAACCCGCGCCAGCCGAGGCAACATCCTTGGATGTCCTTGTGGCGGGAGCCCAAGGTGAGCAACCAGGTGTGCCCGAAGCACAGGCAGCCACGGGGGCGTCGGAGGAGAACGTCGATACTACTGCCACTGCGGAAGAGCCAACGAGGTCAAGTATCGGGTGAGTAGAAGCTCACGTCAGTAATCCCGTTACCTCTTCTCCTGTGGAAGAAGAGGCAAGGATCTCTTTGGAAGGAGTGTCTTTGGATACTTCTTTCGATGGGAACATCACAGATGAAGGCGCGCGGATGGAGGCGGGGGAGGAAGATGAGGCTGAACCGGACAACCTCCATAATCAATTTTATTAGCTAAAGCATTGGTGGGATAAAGATGTAGGTCTAAGAAATGGAAGAGCATATCAGGAGCAGCAAAGAAAGTGGCATTATGAGAGTGAGAAGAGCGTTCATGTTTGTTTTTTATTACATCTGCATCAGAAAAGCATGTCTTGAATGGTGTCACGGCAAGGGAAGACAAAATAGACGGGTTTATGTTAGAGGCTGGAAAAGCGACAACGAAAAGGGCGTTATTCTGGAGTTGTCTAACGGAAGAGGAGAAACGGAAACCAGGGCAGCCTAGATACCCAGGAAGGGAGTGCCGGTGAATGAGCAAGGCCCAGGGCACGAATTTCCAACAGTTCATCTAGTTCTAGTACATAATTGACAGTCCATACTTTTTTACATTACCTATCTTTTGGCAGCAACACGACAAAGTACAATATCAATACCACTTGATTCTGTCATTATGGTTGACGATAAGGATGGCGCAGAGTGCGGGGAGATGATGGGCATGCCCCAAAAAGGAAAGAAAGTCCCGACGTCAACGCGATAAGCTGATAAGCCCTCGATCCAGTAGGTAGACTTTCAAGAACAGGACTCGACTTCAAAATGCAAGTGATGCAACTCTGTTTCCGTATTGGTCGTACAAGCTGGCTGATAAGATACCTACCTATGAATTCTCTTGATACAAGACTTGTTGTGCCCCCATCTTCTTCTGTTTTGAGCACTTGGTGTAAGCCACTACGAATCATTCATCATCATCAACATCAAATATGGACTCAATAGCCATTAACCACACAACAGTCGCTCCTTCAGGATCCGGGACCGCCGACACAGTCAATATGCTCAATCAACTTCTCAATACCCTCCACTCCTACCGTCCAACCCCTCAACAAAACCTCTACCTCATCGCCTTTCTCTTCCCCTCCCTGTTACTCTACCTCATCACCAATCGCTACCAACAACAAAAGCAGAAACAGAAGCAAAAACAACAAATACACGGTTCCCTTTCTTCGACTCCAACCACCACCACCACCTCAGAAAAACAACTCCACAAAGAAGATCGCGAACCCGGCAAATGGCCTCCCTCCTCTTACGTCTTCCCCACCCCGCCTTCCTACCCGGACTGGGACATGCACAAGACCAAACCGCTCCCCTACCGCCCCTTCCGCTACGGCCCCGTCTACCACACCACCATGGGTCTGCGTACCGTGCAACCGGAAAACTGGATAGAGTTGGATAACCAGTACCGCAAGTTCCACGCGGACAAGGCGGCAAGGATAGCAGAAAGGGGAGAGAAGTGCATCATGGTTGCGCCCGAGGCTACTGATGCTTCTGTGGAACTCCTCAAGGAGTTAGTCGAGTATCTACCCGCTCGATACCCGAGTTTGTTTCGCCGAACAGCAGTCGGTATCGAGAATCTCTGGTCCGGAGAATCATTCGACATTTCTTCGTTAACCGGCACCGGCACCGAAGGAGGTCGCAAAGCAATGGAGATGGCCGCCCGTCTAGTTCAAGACGACCTGGTCCTCATGATGGAGCGACCAGATGAGCAATACTACCTCGTCGCCGGCGCCGTCCTGCTGCCTGGGTTCTGGCGGCTCACAGACAAATTCGGCATGTCGCTGGCGGAATTGCACACTTCGGGGGACGTGCCGCAGTATCAAGAAAAGCTGCACAAGGGCATGTATAATCTCTTTCGGCGGTTACGGCCGGAGCAGATGGTGGGGAGGAACAATTACTTTATCCAGGTGGACGACTCCTTAGCTTGGTCGTGGAGTATCGGGTCGGAAGACGACGAGACGGAGACGAGCTGGTCGACGGCGGAAAAGAATCGGGCTATCGAACATCATTATTTCAGGAGTGAGAGGCAGACGTTGAGGAGACTGCCGAAGACGGGGGCAGTGTGCTTTACGATTCGGACGTACTTTGAGCCCATCACGGCGGTTGCTGAGGAGGATTATGTGCCTGGAAGACTGGCGAGCGCAGTGAGAAGTTGGGGAGATGATGTGGCCAGGTATAAGGGGAAGGAGCGGTATGGAGAGGTTTTGTTGGAATACTTGGATAAGAAGCATCAAGAGCAGATGGAACAGGGGCTGGATCTAAGTAGAGAGGATGACTGTCGGGCGTATCCGTTCTAGAAGGTTTGTGTATGTCTTTGGCGTGTCAATCATGCCGTCAATTTCATATCGGTGCGAACGGTAAACATACCTAGTGAGTGAGCTTTTTATTCCATGTTCCATCTTTTGTTTATGGCTGTCAGAGACGGGCCCCTTGTTTGTATATTGTTCATAACATCATTATCATCATTATTCATACATGTAGTGTACAGATCCTGCTCATTATCGTCCCATTGTTCCACCTCGTCAGGTACTTACGCCTTTTTATCCTCCTTGGGAAACTTCCTGAACATATCGATCAGCTTGTCCATTGGGGTGGTCAGCAGACCAATCGCAGTCTCGTAGGGCGGCTTGTCAGGAGCGCTGGGGTGGCTGTGAGTGGGGACAAAGTGCTTGGTGGTGTTGAAGCTAGAGGCCAGCTTGCTCGAGTATTCGACGTCGATATTCTCCTCAAGAGCAGGGAGATCATCGCGTTCTTCCTCCGTGATGTGATCAGAGAGAGCGTCCCAGAGCTTGTCGAGGGTGGGGAGGAAGTCAGAGGACGAGGGAGTCATCTTTTCGAACTCGTAGAGGAGGTTCTTGACCTGTTGTTTTGGTGGTTAGCTGTGTTATGTACAAGAGATACATGGAATGTTGAGATTGGATGGAAGCTTACCCTCTGATGCTCGGCACGGTCCTTTTCGGCCATGACCAAGCCGTTGGGAACAAACTTCTCGAAGGCCGGGTAGACGATAATCTCCTCGGCGATGGAGTGGCGGGCAAGCTCCCAGATGAACTGGTTCTGCCATCGGACTTTGGTGTCTTCATCCTCGGCAGCGAGGATATTTCTGTACTGCTTCTCGAGCTCGGCATGATCGTGCTTGACGCGGTCAGAGACCTTGACGGCGCTGTAGGGGGAGTCCATCATGGTGCGGATGCTGACGGGCTGGATAAAGCGCGGGGTTGCGAGGGCGGGGCGGGAAACGCTGTTGGCGATGCTTCTGGGGACCTGCCTGAGGCCGGTGTGGGTTGCCAGGCGATACATATTTATTATATGGCGATGTTGCGGTTGAGAGTGATGTTGGTGGTGTGATGTGCAATGGTGTCTGAAATGACGGCTGGTTTATATTCCCTGCCTCGTAAGTCGAGCGTCAGATGCTGTATTTCAGTCACTGGATGGCCAAAACTGCATCATGGAGCTGTCATGCTGTAGTCCTTTTGCAGTTTCGACCCAAGTTCACTTTGTTCGGTTCGACGGTACACGACTCGACAGAGGGGGACTGAGCTCAGTCGTCATTGATATGTAAGTGGTTTGCATTGATTGGTCCGGAGCATTTCTTACGGTTGCCGTCTAGTATCGCTCCCGTCCGGTGCTTGGGAAGGAGCATTGCCCAGGAACAGTGACCGACTGCAGTGCGCTCTATTGAAACTGAATTGGGTTGTCAAATTTGGAAAGAATGAACATTACTGTACTTCAAGTTCTGCTCACACTCGGTTTCTGGTGTGGCCACGCACCACTCGACTACCTACAAAGTGAACACAGTTGTTGGAAACTAGTCGATCGAAGTAGATCCCGTTCAGTTTCGTACAGTTTTCCACAAGTTATGGACGAGTGTCATGCTGGCGTTGTCAAGGTGATGGAGGATGCTCTCTCCAAAATTATGTACGTCATTGTCCTGTCTTCCCCATGTCTTGGCATCTGGGCTGCTCTCCTGATCGACCGGACTGGATTGGCGTTCCTGGGAAGAGCGAAGATCCGGTCTGGATTTGAATCAACGGCCGTTGAGAAGAGCCGGGAGAACGTTAGCAGAAGCGATTCGAATATTCCAAAGTCTGAACGAATGCCACGGCGGTCGGGGGTTTGTGGTGTGCCGATCCTCGACGAGAAGTCAGCCCTAACCCGTGTCATAGGCAGGCTTCGAGTTGTCTGGCATCACTGTATCACTGTTGGAATTTCCGGCCGCTTGCTTGCTCTGGTGCTTTTGTGCTCTGGCTTTCGTCGTGATTCCTCCATTGGTCATTGAAATTCGATGCAGTGTGAGTCGTTCTTGGGTTGCCCCTTCAATTGTCCAGACCCGAGTACCTTGATGGTCAAGAATGGATGGTCTGTGCGTTCCCAACTCCGTTCGGCTTAAACCTATGCAGTTAGTGCCCAGCAGGGAGCTTGGACCACCCCCGCCTTTTGGAACCTTGAGGTAAGTTGCCTGCCGTCCCTAGGTTGTCGTCCTGGTGTTTGCTCCGCTGTATTTTCTGCAATCGTCAACAGGGCACAACATCGCCATCTTCTCCCACCTCAACCCTCACCCAAGAATATCTGCTGGGCTGTTTTCCCTGATGCACATCACCAGTGCGACAATGTTGTCCCTCCATGGCCATGGAGCTAGTTGAGCTCTGAAGCCAGGCCAGCAAAAGCCCACCAAGCCGAGCTAGGGTACCTACTTTTTCAGCTCTCAACATTTCGCAATTTTTCTAGCGGGGTGGACTCTAATCCCGCCCTGCCCGGGAGCAACTTGTGCAGCACAGGGCCAGTATAGGGGACAGTACCTTAGTACCACCGGCAATTATGGTACCTACATACATGATCAATGCCTAGAGGTATTGTACATCAGTTTGAACTGATTGGATTGACAACTCTGCATACAGGTAGCTTTACGTAAAAAAGATAACGACAACAACGTAGATTTGGTGATGCGCGGGCATCGATTATGTCGACGGTCTCAGTTGTACACGGGCTACTGGTGAACTGGGTGGTGGCTGCGCTTCCGTTCGACCTCAGCAGTAAAAGTGAGTGTAGTCTGCCCGGGGAAGGATTTGAATTCACCCCGCTAAACCCCAGGGACCGGGACCAGCCCTTGAGTTCGCGCCGTCAACATTTCCACTTTGCATCTCCAAGCTCCACGATTCTCTTCAGCTTTGCCTTTTCAGGTGCACCACCGTCGACTCACCCCAATCATTCTGCGCCAGATGCACTTCAACAAGCTTTCCATTGGTCACCATGTCGTCGCTTTGAATGCTTTTCTAACTCCAACCAGTAATCGCCTCGAGCTACGAGATGCATGTTTCAACGCATCACCGCGCTACACGACATCGAGCCCTCCGAGTTGTCATCATTCCGAGGAACACAGGGGATACAATGTCTCGGACTTTGTGGAATGGCGGGTCGAAAAGAGGGACGAGAGGCTGGAAAACGCTGTGTCATCGGAATGATGGTCGGCGAGAGAAGAGGTATAATGGCCGAGGCCGCACCTCTTGAGCTTCTCTCCCAGTTCTCTTGTCTTCTCTTCAACTTTTGCGTTGCTGTACGCGTCGCACAGTCACCACAATGTCGACTCCCATTCCACGACCACCGGGAATCCCAGTGCTGGGAAACGTCTTCGACATCACACCTAGCAACACATGGTGGTCCCTCAAGGCACTGGCTGAGAAATATGGTGAGTCCCGCAGCCAAAGACGTCCATGGATACACCAGCTAATATGATTCAGGCGAGATCTTCCAGGTCAAGATCCTCGGCAAGACCATCGTCTTCGTTGCCAGCGCCGCCCTCGCCGAAGAGATCTGCGATGAGCAACGCTTCCAGAAATACGTAGGCGGTCCTATCGTCGAGATCCGCGCCACAGTCCACGACTCCCTCTTCACAGCCTTCCACCACGAACAAAGCTGGGGAATTCATCACCGAATCATCGCTCCCCTCCTCACCCCTCAAGCCGTCTCAGGCTACACCGACGACATCAACCTCTGCGCGACCGAGGTCATTCAAAAATGGGTATCCCTCGGTGACAGCAACGTCCTCGAGCCTCTCGTCGACCTCAACCTCCTCAACCTCGAAGCCACGTCTCTCACCCTCTTCAGCCAAAAGCTCAATTGCATCCAAGCCGGCGGCCACCCCGTCATCCAGGCCATGGAAGATGCCGTCTCCGAAGCCATCATGCGCCCCACGCGCCCCGGACTCGTCAACTGGCTCCTCTACTCCTCCAAGTTCAAGAAAGCCACCAAGACATTGCGCACCTGGGCCGCCGACACCGTCAAATACCGTCAAGAAAACCCCACAGACAAGCACGACATGCTTTGGGCCTTTATGAACGCAAAAGACCCCGAAACCGGCAAGGGTCTCTCCGAGTCCGAAATCCTCGACGAAATCGTCACCATGCCCATCGGCTCCGCCACCGCTCCCTGCGCCGTGACCGCCACCATCTATTACCTCCTGCAGAACCCCGAAGTCGTCACCAAAGCCCGCGAAGAACTCGACCGCGTCATCGGTACCGGCCCTCTCAAGGACGAACACCTCTCTCAACTTCAATACATCGAAGGCATCACCCGCGAAACCCTCCGTCTCTCGTGTGCCGCACCAGGCTTTAACATCGAGCCGATCCCCCGCCAGAATAAGGCCGACAAGTCTCCCATCCTCCTCCAAGGAGGCAAATACCAAGTCGCGCACGACCAGAAACTCATCATCGTGCTAGCCGGCGTCAACCGCGACCCAGCCGTGTTTGAGGACCCCCTGGCTTTCAAGCCGGAGAGGATGATGGGCGACGAGTTTGACCGCTTGCCCAAGGGCGTGAAGAAGTGGTACGGTAATGGCAAGCGGGAATGTATCGGTAAGAAGTGGGCCAACAATTTCTTGAAGATTGTTACGGCGAGGTTGATACATGAGATCGACTTTGAGGTGGCGGATGAGGGCTATGAGTTTAGGCAGGATGGCTGGTTCCAGATTAGGCCGGTTGCGTTCAACGTGAGGGTCACGCCGAGAGTGAGGGCCTAGGCTGATGGCCTGAGAGTTTGTTTGGGAGGTATGAGAAGGAGGGCATCATGGAGAAGTGAAAGTGCAAGGTGTAATTGAGGGATGTTGCCTCTTCGTTGAACAGAAATTGGAATATACCATTGGCGTTTGTTTGAACATGTTCTTGCTCAAGCTTCTTGGTGCTATGTTTGTTTCTTGCCTTTGTTCACCATGATCAAAACAAGGACGATCGGATATTCCATCCCAAGCTCCGATACGTACTTCTAGACATACACGCAGAACTAATATCTAACCCGTCAGCTTCTTCCTCCTGCATCATCTTCACTCTCCATTCCCTTAGCGCTATCACTTTTCGGGAGACTGCCTCCAATATTTTGCTACTGTGACTTCCTGGTCTTCCTTCTTCTCGGTCATCGGCCTCCAAGCCCGGGTTACTGGGTTGGGATTGTTGTCAGATACCTACCTACATCCACTCTCCTAACAACGTGCCATGAGACTGTAAATCCTGGTAGCATGATCTTTTCTTTTAGCATAGAACAGCAGGTCCCATGGTCCATTGAGTGTCTCATGGCAGCTTTTCTACAACTACAGAATATCTCCATACCTACACGTACCTCTATCCTATCCTCTAGGACAAGTGAGTGACCCATCCATTTCCCTGGGACGGTTAGGTACCTACTACAGTTCTACATATATCGTTACACAGCTCAATGTTGACGGTACTGGCCCAATGCCTTGTACTAGATTCCCCAGTCCTGCAAGGCGACTTCTCTTGGGGAGCGGCAAGGCTGGCTGGTGGGATGGAAGTAAGGTGGTGTAAGGTAGACTCTATGCAGTGCCCGGCGAGGTGTGTTTTGTTCTTTCACCTTCCCTTCGCCGGTTACAATATTGGTTTCGAACTAGACCTCAAAGCATTAGAGAAATGACATGCATTTGCAAGCCCTTGTTAGCCTCTCGGTGAGCTGCTGTGCTTGAAATGAGTAAATGAAGTAAGAGGGGCCACAAAAAAAAAAAAAAAAAAAAAAAAAAAAAAAAAAAAGGAAACATAGAAAGAAAGAAGAAAAGAAAAACCTCCACGCAATAAGAAATGAACCCGCTTCGAACGCCTTACAGCAGTTAAAGCTCAAGGTAGGAAAAGGAAGGATTGGGAACGGGGGCATAGAATTATCTCTTGCATCATTGATGTGTTTCAGGAAGTCCGCACTCAATAATGCCCCAAGCCACTCCCACCTCTCACATCTAACAAACAAGGCCACAGCAGCGTATCCATTACTTCCGAAAGAGAAACCCCCCCACGGCCCACGCTGGGCATGCTTGTTTTTTTCCACCTGACC